AACCTGGGGGGAGGTTCCTGGGAAGTTGTGGGCAGCGAAAACCTAAAGCTACCAGGAGGAAAAAGGACAGAAAGATCAGAACAGTCTGAATGATTCTTATAATATAGTTTTGTATGTAATCTCACTTTCATGTTCATTAGCACAAGTTCCACAACTATCATTGGCTAGCGTTTTAATAATAATAATTCTTGCATTTGATATAGCACGTTTTACGTCTTCTAGACATCCCAAAGCGCTTCACAGAATATACTGTAAGTGGATTGACTGTATATTTGTGGGCGAACGCGGCATCCAATTGCGCACAGCAATGTCCCACAAACAGTCGTGGATTGAAAATGACCAATTTATTATTGTTTTTGGTTTTGGAGGGATTATTATTAGGCTCTGTGTGGAGTAAGGAAACTTGCCCGAGGTTTCACCCTCTGCCTGGAATTGAACTCAGGTCTCTCACTTGCAAAGCGAGTGCTCTAACCGCTGAGCTACAGCACTCCACAAATGCTGGATATTTAACATATTTAAATGTTTTAAAATGCTTCACTTAAATGTCAGCAGCCTTTCTGTCTGTCAAGCATTATAGCACTTGATTGGGTTCAATTCCCGGCAGGTCAAAATGTTGGGCAAGTTTCCTTACTCTATACGCCTCTGTTTACCTAGCAGTAATTTACAACCCAGTTGTTAGTCAATTGGCGGGTCGCTTTTCCGGGGGTAATAATCCCTTCAAAAAAAAACAATAATAAATTATTATTTATTTTGGCCACTTCAATCCACGACTGTTTGTGGCCGTTTGTGGAACAGTGAGCAATTGACTGCTGCGTTTCGCCCACAAAATATAGTCAATTCACATTACAGTCTATTCTGTGAAGCGCTTTGAGACGCCTCGAAGACGTGATAAGGCACTGTATCAAATGCAAGGATTATTAGTATATTATATTTCAGTTCTGCACAGTTTGAGCCTCCGCACTGCAATGAAGCTCATCAACTGCCTTCCACCCACAACAGGTGGGGAAGTGTGAGCTGTGGCTCGACAAGATAATAGAATGAGGTTTAAAGGTCTGCTGAGTGGAGGCTTCTACGGTCAGAATGAAGAGAACACAACAAAGACCTATGGTGCCCCCAGCAGCATTTGGTGATATTGCTGCTGAGTGAAATACAATCACTCCAAGTTCAGTGAACAGATATCCGGAGTGGCGAGTTGCGCGTATACAATTAATAATAATCTTTGCATTGCATGTATAAATGCAGTTGGGATATTGACAGCATCTGTGCGTCTTGACACGATTCTTACATTATTTGTCCACAGAACTTTACAGTTCATCCTATAAATTGTTACTGCAAGTTGTTGTTGTTGAAGCGCTTTCAGACGTCCTCCCAATGTGAAAGGTGCTACATCAAATAAAAGGAATTCAGGAACAGGAGGAGGCCATTCAGCCCCTTTGATCCAATTCCACCACAATAATAATGATAATAATAATAATATTTTATTAGATCATGGCTGATCGATACTTCAACTCCAATTACCCCACCTTTGCCCCATATCCCTTGATATTCACAGCCTTTTGGGGAGAGAGTTCCAAAAGTAAGAGAGGTTCTGTACATTTTCTCCTCATGTTTCAAAGGAGGTAATCACACATCAGAGACAGCCTTTTACTGTAATAGTACTAAAATAAGTATTAAATGTGATTTTATATAAAATGAATAAGTAAACATTGTGGCTGCTCATCCCATTTATTTTTCCTTGTATTTTTGGGACCTCAAGTTAACATCTCATCCGAAAAGTGGCATTTCCCAGTGGAACATCGCTATCCCGACAATGGGGCTCGAACCCATAACCTTCTCACCTCAGAGGCCAGGGTGTTACTGACTGAGTCAGGCTGATACATGTACAGATTGTTGGATGCATTGGCTCTGAAGTCCATCTCAGCTGAATTAGCTGCCTACCCCCACTCTCTGTGAACACCCATGGAGAAAGGCCATTTTAATAATGATAATCCTTGCATTTGATACAGTGCCTTATCACGTTGTTGAGACGTCTCAAAGCACTTCACAGAATATACTGTAAAGTGAATTGACTGTACATTTTGAGGGCAAAACGTGGCAGCTAATTGCGCACAGCAGTGTCCCACAAACAGCTCTGGATTTTTTTTGAGGGATTATTACCCCCGGAAAGCGATCTGTCTTTAATCTGACTAACAATCAGGTTCCTACTTACTGCTAGGTAAACAGAGGCAAGTTGAAGGAAAAGTAAGGAAACTTGCCTAAAGCTTCGTCCGGCCCGGGAATCGAACCTGGGTCCTCTCGCTTGCAAGGAGAGTGCTCTATAATAATAATAATAATAATCCTTGCATTTGATATAGCGCTTTTCACGTCGGGAGGACGTCCCAAAGCGCTTCACAGAATATACTGTAAAGTGAATTGACTGTATATTTGTGGGCGAACGCGGCAGCCAATTGCGCACAGCAATGTCCCACAAACAGTCGTAGATTGAAAATGACCAATTTATTATTGTTTTTGGTTTTTTGGAGGGATTATTATTAGGCGTGTGGAGTAAGGAAACTTGCCCAAGGTTTCGCCCTGACTACAGTACAGGACTCCACATTTTGTTGGGTACTTCCCTGGTGCCCATAGACCATACCCCAGTGTAGGACGGCACCTTCAGCGGAGGAGAAATTTGGAGGGGAATAATTTTCTATGTAATAATAATCCTTGCATTGGATACAGCACCTTATCGTGTCTTCGAGATGTCTCAGAGCAAGTCACAGAATATCTCCTACTCCCCCCGGCTCAGCGTCATGCTCCGTCAAGATCAAATGCTCTGGGATGCTACCCTGCATGTGGGCTGCTATATAAATGCAAGTTAAGTTGTTGTTATTGAAATTTCTATGACAGGTAAGAACAGCATTTTAGCTGTTCTCAGAACAACCCATTCAGCCTTCCACGGTCTTGCTCGCCCCTACTTCTCCGATACGCCTAACCCCCTACCACCCTGTTCGCTCCCTCTCTCAGTGGGCTCCAGCCTGCTTCACGTCCCCTGCCTTGCTCGCCCCACTATTGGTGGGTGGGCCTTCCGCCACTCTGCCCCCACCCTCTGGAATTCCATCCCACAGCCCCTCCGTCTCGCCCCCTCCCTCACCACCTTCAAGACCCACCTCAAGAACCTCCTCTTCGACCATGCTTTGGATCTCCCTGCTTCCCAACCTGCCCTCCTCCACCCTGACCCTCAGCTCGGGTCCGTAACTCTGTCTGTCCAGGGCCTTGGGACGTCCTTCCGACGTGAAAGGCACTATATAAATGTAATTTTGTTATTCAGTAATGGCTCGAACAGATGGATTCTGTTGAGAGTTTACAATTACTAATGCAAATTAATTTCGCTGGTCAATAGCTTAAACAGAATCGAGTCCTTTTTGTTTTAATTAATCAGACTTTGCAGCTCTCCCCACATCCCTTAATGATTTTAACTGCTCAGATGGTTGTTCAATCGTTTTGTGAATGACTTAATTAATACAGCCTCAATATCCTCTTATGGGAATGAATTCCAAACCTTCAAAGGATCCTGAGTTAAGAAATCCATTCTAATGACCGCCTTACTCCCCCCATAATTTTTCTGCTAACAATCTTGAGGCTACAGCCTCTTAAAACAGACTATTTATAAAATTAAAAATTAAAATCGAATGGCTTTCAACTTCTGAAATCAACAATTCTCATTCACATAATGTGAATGAAAATTGTTGATTTCAGAAGTTGAAAGCCATTCGATTTTAATTTTTAAAATATTAATATAATAATAATCCTTGTGTTTGATACAGCGTCTTATCATGTCATCGAGACATCTCAAAGCGCTTGACGGAATATACTGTAAAGTTCAGTGACTGTGTGTTTTGTGAGCTAAACGCGGCAACCAATTGCGCATAGCAGTGTCTCACAAACTGAATGACTGAATGGATTGAATGACTGAATATTTCAGCCTCAAAGCATTAGACAAAGCTAAACTATTGTGCTGGAAACTGTGACCTAAGAGGTTTCTGTAATTTCCTATAGGGAAACAGGTGTTTATGGGCAAGTCCCTGGACATAATGTTCCTTCAGAAGTTCAAATTCCAGGCTATCGAAGGAGTTGAAGGAGTAACAGTCACTCTCTCCCCTCCCCCCCCCCGTCCCTTGTCTCCGTCAAGACCCGTCTCAAGACGCTCCTCTTAGACCGTGCCTTTGGTCACCCTCCACCCTCCTACCTTCTACCTTCTACCCTCATCCCTCCAGATTCCAACCACCTGCTCAGACACTTTTAAGCAAAGCAGCGTTATAAAGGGGCTTTGCTCCAGAAAGAGCCTGTCTACGCACCATTTTTTCACGGTACAGAGACTGGAGGGATTAAACACATAAAAATTAAATGTTATCGAATTTATGGAATCCAAGCCAGGAAGGAGAGAAGGAAAATCCAGCAGAATATCTTGCAAATGATTCCACCAATCTGTCGCCTCCCCTCTGAGTGTAAATCACTCTGGCAAAATACCATCCAGGTGGCAAATACATTCCACTGGTTATAATTAATGTAACATCTTCGATCATTGCAGTAGGTTGTTTATTACAGTGGAAACTCATTCATAAAACGCAATTCATAATCCAGCTGCTCATTGTTGTGTAAACTGTGCCAGTAAATCGACCGTGCTTACGGCTATCTCCCCCCTGTACGCACCCACCCGGCTCAGAGTCAGGCTCCGCCACCGTTAAGCGCTCTGCGTGGAGTGTGCTATATAGGTGTAAGTTGTTGTTGTTGCTCTTGCCCTTCAGCAGTTAATAAGATCCACCGGAGAACGAATTATTGCACATTTGGTGTCGACAAAAATGAATAATCCTTGCATTTGCATTTGCTACAGCGCCTCAGCACGTCGTTGAGACGTCTCAAAGACCTTCACAGAATATACTGCAAAGTGAATTGACTGTATTTTGTGAGCGAAACGCAGCAGCCAATTGCGCACAGCAGCGTCCCACAAACAGCCGAGGATTGAATGACAAAATATTATTTTTTATTTTTTTTTGCAGGGATTATTATCACAGAAAATGAAAATAAGAATCCAACTACTGACCTGATGGAATATTTGAAGAACTCAAATGCCTCACACAGTTACACATGACATTGTTTTGTTTACAAACGCTTACATTTACAAACCTGCTGAACTAAACACGGTTAAGTCTGGTATCCCAAAGGGTAATGGAGGTTGATTATAAACCTGTTTTTTTTTAAAAAATCTTAATTAAGTAGCGCAAGAGAAAGTAATTGACGTCAAAGCAGAAAAGCCAATCAACTTTCCAGTTAAATTTAAAATACGACATATATAGAATCATTTGATATATTCCTAGTTCTTTGCCCCTACCATCCTGTGCTATCCCCAAATAATGACTCTACAGTAAAAGTCAGTCATTCAGGAAGAGGTTCAGGCAAGCTTAGAGTTCAATAAAATATAGAATAGAAATTACGCAGTCAAAATTACAATATTTTAAAACACTGGAGGTTCCGCAATTTCACCCAGTCTCAGCCTGTGTCTCTAAGACCATTTGCTTTCAGGATTTAACGTCTCGGTTGCAAAAATGGGGTAAAATTCTTAAATTCAGTCTTTAATTTGGAAGCTGGTTTCTTTTTATGCTCTCCGAGACGCTACCCCATGTGAAGGGCGCTGTATAAATGCAAGTTGTCATTGTCCTTTAGGAAAACGCGGCTTTCAAATCGTGACTGGAATGAAAAATTCCACTGAGTCTTACACTTTTAAGGTAAAATGTGTCGCGCGGATGAACTTTCGTGCTTCTTATGTTCTTTTGTCTTCTATTTTTGAAGTCATCTCAACACTTGGTTGTACGAGACAGAGAGAGAGAGAGAGAGAGAAAGAACAAGGACATCTCCACACATCGAGACCCTAGTTGGAGGCTGTGTTGGGCAAGGGGGATGTAAGAGTTCTCCGTGAGTTGGTGACTTGACGTTGCTGTGCCAGAAATGACCGAGTGGCTCCACAGCCTCCCAATCGGGCTTCTGTCGCTATCCTCTGAAATGCCAGGCTCTGAAATAATCCACAATGAATGATTTTACACACGAAAACAAAGCACCAAACTCAAGAAAAAACAATTCGCTGGGAGCCAGTTGTGTCAGTGCTGGCTCTTTCAAACAAAAACAAGTTACACTCCTTTCACACTGGGAGGACATCCCAAGGTACTGGGATTTGTACCCAAGTTGGGGGTGGGGATCAGGAGAGAGTGACCGAAGGCACAGTTGAAGAGGAGGTTCTCGAGATGAGTCATGAAGGAAGCAAGGGAGCGGGTGAGGTGAAGGGACTGTGAGATGGAGTTCCAAAGGGCGGGGGTAGAGAGGCTGAAGACTCGACCACTAAAGGGTGCGTTGGGCTGGGCAGGAGAGATGGAGTAGGCCAGAGCCCACTCAGCCCCATTTACCTGCCCTTTCTTCACCACCACTTCCCATAACCCACCTTTACCTGCCACCACTAGGCAGTCAACGCCCCTGGGATAGGGAGGAGAGAGCCAGACCCCCCACAATACTCCCACAATATAGGTGAGGACTGAAGTCAGTTGTAATGAACCCCAGCATATAAATAAGCTTCCAACATTCATAGTCTGGGCTGCAATCTAAACACATGGTCACTTGAGCTAGCGACAAGGAACGCTTTGGAACCATCACCTACAGGAAGGATTAAGGAGTCGAAATACCTTCAAGCGAGGAAGAGGAGAAGGAGGGGGTGGTGGATGCAAACATAATTTTGAAAAATAAAATATCGCACAATTATATTCCAAAATAAATGGAAGTTGTACTTCCCGGCCTACCTTGTTATACCAGGCTGTGACTATCAGCTCCTCCTCATATCCTCGAAGCTTTGCTTGCTCACATTCACGCTAGCGGAAAGATGGAGAGAGACAGGAGGCAAGGTTACTCAGCGACTTTTGAAAGTCGTGAGGGAACTACTCTACAGAAAGTATACAGTCGACTATAGAAAATGGGCTTTACGATGAATGATTTGAAATAGAAAACGAGCATCTCATCTCCAACCAGGATACAAATATACCAACTCTAACATTGTCATTGAAACAGGGTCTAAAGTAGGAGATTTGCAAAGAGCAAGTTCTGGTTTGCAAACGTCAGCACGTGGGAGACGTGCTCTGATCTCAAAATCATCCACTCAGCCACAAGGGAAATATTTATATAATAATAATAAACCTTGCGTCATGCTATGTCTTCGAGACGTCTCAAAGCGCTTCACAGAATATACTGTAAAAAGATTTGGTTATATTCAGTGGGCATATATATGTGATATATTTACATATATTCATGATGGAGGCCAGGGCTTCAGACTCATAGAAACACACTTGGGAGGTGTAATGGGAAGGCGATAGGGTGGGATCTGTGGAAGGATGAGAATAAATGGACCGAAAGGAACTTTCTTCATCAAAACAGGTTCTGGTGACGAAAAGATGAAAAGAACATGCGAAAAGAGCACACCTTAATAATGTCAAGAGAACGGATCTCCCTCTAAAACCATCTCCCTCCAGAACTCTGGGGTAATTCATCTGCTCTGCTCTTTAACAATCTAAGGATTGAAAACTAGGTAGGATATGGAAGTGCTACAACTTTGCTCTTCACATAACCATTTAAGCACAATACGGTGTCATTAAAGAACCAGGTTGCAAAGCAGCCCTAAAGTTGTGATAAAGTAACACGAATACACACCTCCAGCTGTAGTATTCTCTTGTCTCGCTCAAGAATATAGATTTTCAGGGTCTGCATCTCTGCCGTCATTGGGTTCTGCTTTGGATCCAGAGCTTTAATCACCTGGCGGGTGTTGTACAGAGAGCAACAAGATTAATAATAGAATAATCCTTGCATTTGATATAGCCATTATCGCGTCTTCGAGACGTCACAAAGCGCTTGACAGAATATACTGTAAAGTGAATTGACTGTATATTTTGTGGATGAAACGCAGTAGCTGATTGCGCACAGCAGCGTCCCACAAACAGTCGTGGATTGAGTAACCAACATTTTTTTTTGAAGGGTTATTACCTCCAGAAAGCGATCTGCCAATCGAGTAACAATCGGTTTCCCACTTACTACTAGGTAAACAGAGGCGTGTAGCGTAAGGAAACTCGTCCAATGTTTCACCCTGCCCGGGAATCAAGCCCAGGTCCTCTCGCTTGCAAGACGAGTGCCCTAACCACTGAACTACAGGACTCCACTAGTGTTCAAGACTAACAATCCCGAGGGAAATCAGAGAGTGACTGAATCTCATGTACTTACGTTACGCACTTTCTCCAGGTACAGTTTATATCTTTCCTCCATCACCCTCATGTCTTCATCCTTCTTTGACAGTGCTCGTTCCAACTCGTCAATCTTTGGTGCTAACAGCGAGTGACAAGATGTATGATTTAGAAACTTTTGGGGTGAACATCACAGTCTGTGATCTGTTAATTAATAGTCTGCGCCGGTGTTTATACTCCACACCAGCCCCATCCCCCCACTCCTTCACCCCCTCTTCCCTTCACCATCATGCATGCCTCATCATCAAGTTTTCTAAGTGGAAACAAAGTACGAACATCCACCTTATTAGATTCTTTAATAATCTTAAACAACCTCGATCAGGTCTCATCTCAATCGTCTCAACTCAAGAGAGAATAGAATAAAGCTGAATAATAATAATGTTATAATAATTTTTTGGTATTTGGTATAGCGCCATATCTTCAAGGTGTCTTAAAGCGCTTCACAGAATATCCTGTAAAGTGAATTTACTGTATATTGTGTGGACAAAACATAGCAGCCAATTACGCACGGTATTGACCAAATTATTATTTTTTTTTGAAAGCATTATTAACCCCTAGAAAGCGATTCTCCAATCGACTAACACCCGGGTTCCTACTTACTGCTAGGTAAACAGAGGCGCGTGGAATAAGGAAACTTGCTCAAGGTTTCGCCTTGTCCAGGAATCGAACCGAATAGAAGAATGTAAGGAAGGTTGTACACATTAGTGGGTAGAAATTCCTTGTGGTATAACCCACCGCTCCTTTGGAAATTCCATTAAAAGGGCCATACCGAACGCATTGTTTTTGTTTCAACTTACAATTCCGGCTCATTTCTGATTGTAAGTCTTGAATGAGTTCCTTCTTTTTCTGTAAATCATCTTGTGTCTCATGAAGCTTCTCCCTGGATAAAAAAAGGAGCATCGTATATAATAAGGACTGCATTTTATACAATGATACACGCTTTATAATGTGCGTAATTGGCTGCCGCGTTTCGCCCACAAAATCAAGTCACTTTACAGTATATCCTGTGACGCGCTTTAAGATGTCTCGCCAATCTGATAAGATATGCGATGTGATATCAAATGCAAAGATTATTATTATTAGTGGTAGTAGTATTATGTCCTCTAAACATCTCAAAGTGCTTCACAGGATTTTACTGCAAAGTGTCGTATTTTGCAGGCGAACACAGGAGCCAACTTGTGCACAGCAAACAGCCACGCAGTGAATCATGATCCAACTTCAGACGCAAAGCAGCTCATTACCAAGATGAAATGACCATCTGTTCATGTCTTAATAATAATAATAATAATAATCCTTGCATTTGATACAGCGCCTTATCACGTCTTCGAGACGTCATAAAGCTTTTCACAGAATATACTGTCAAGTGAATTGACTGTGTATTTTGTGGGCGAAACATGACAGCCTATTACGCACAGCAGCGTCCCACAAACAGTCGTGGATTAATTGTCACAGTTTAAGAGAAAATCGCCTCTTTTTTCTAGAGATCTTGGGCATTTTTGAGAACAGCCCTTTTTTTTAAACAAAAGACACAAATTAGTGCAGAATACAATGCCATCATGCCCAGAGCCATCAATCTTCCTCTCCCAGACGTTCCCAGATGAGAGAAAAGCAGAAAATCAGCCAGTGTTTCGAAGCTAATTTAGCTGAGTGCTGCGTTTACAGTTCACAAGGCTCCCCACTTGATGCATTTCACTCTGTTTGCCACCAGCCTATTCCCCCCCCACCCACCACCCCCCACCAACACACACACATACACTCCCACCATCAACTGCTGCATTTTGCTCACTCAAAATTTTCTTAACCATCTCAGAGTTCCATAACGTAGTGGTTAGCTGGGCTCACCTGGCAAGCGAGAGGAGCTTACTGCTAGGTAAACAGAGAAGTGTGGAGTAAGGAAACTTCTCTGAGGAATCCAACCCAGATCCTCTCGCTTGTGAGGCGAGTGCTCTAACCACTAAGCTACAGAAGTACTGTGAATTGCAATGTTCATTTGGGAGCCTTGGAAAGGAAAGCTCCTGGGGAGGAATCTTTCTTGAATGCAAACAAATTTACTGTAATAATAATAACAATAATAATAATAATCCGTACATTTGATAGAGGATGTCTCGAAAAGCACTTTATCCTCTGACTCGCTCCCTCGTTATCTATCTTGAAATCCCACCTAAAGTTCTACCTCTTCAACCAGCTCCCCCTCCTCTTCTCAGGGTCCAAGCCCACCACTGTACATGGCTCTGAGACCCTACCCTGCCTGATGAGCGCAATATAATTGCATGTTGTACTTTTTACCATAAAATGTAGTGACTGTGTACTTTGTGGTACTTACACATGTGCATCCAGTTTCTTCTTCAGTCCACTTGACTGCAAAACAAAACCAATTGTTAACCGAGCTGTGTCTTCAAGCACACTTAGTTTGTGAGCTGCACTGTTTAAAATACAACCGCGAGGATATCTTCAGCCCTGCATAGATCATATGCGAGCAGTCACACAACAACGTATGAACTGGTTCCCAAAGTGGTTCCCATGATTATAATACTTCATCAGGGTGTCTCAAAATGTTTAACAGGATCTAATAATAATAATCCTTGCATTTGATATATGACGTCTTATGACGTCTTTGAGACGTCTCAAAGCGCTTCACAGGATATTCTGTAAAGTGAATTGATTGTATATTTTGTGGGCGAAATGCAGTAGCCAATTGCACACAGCAGCGTCCCACAAACAGTCGTGGATTGAGTGACTGATTTATTTTTTAAGGGATTGTTAGCCCATTAAAAGGGAAGTGGGATAATGTTTTAATACACTGGTTCTGATGAAAATCCTCGATCTGAAATGTTAACCCACTTTCCTCTCTCCATAGATGCTGCCTGACCTGCTGAGTGTTCCCAGCAGTTTCATTTGAGAATTCCATGCATCCCACCAGCACAAGGGAATCCCAGAGATAGATGGTTGGAATGTAATTCTCTCTCTCTCTCTCTCCCTGGAGGGACATATCCTGCTTACCTAATCCGAGATATATTAGGCGCAGGTTAGTAAGAGCCAAGATTTGGGGGGACCCCAGAGTGTGCGTTGGTTCTCAGTGAGAAAGGTTCAAACCTACAACCAGAGGCAAGAGTGTCCCTGAGGCCCGATAACAACCTCTTCTGAATGAAACTTACTTCTTCCACCTTGGACCCTTGCTCCTGTAGAGTCTTCTGGAGGTCATCGATCTGATGCTGTAGCTCGTGGCCACGCTGGGTTTCAAGTCTACGCGGCGAAACGAGAGAAATCCCACGCACGTTAAATTGAAAAGAAACCGAATACAAACAACTGGCGGCAAACGAACAACACATAAGTGCCGGTAAAGACAAAGGCACGAACAGAGGAAACTTGCCTGAAGTTTCGGCTCACCCGGGAATCGAACCCGGGTCTTCTCGCTTGCAAGGCAAGCGCTCTAGCCGCTATGCTACAGGAATCCATTATACGACCACCTACTTACCGGTTCTCTGTCTCCAGCTCGTTCTTCCTCCGGTTCGCTTCGTCCAGCAGCTTCTGCAGGGATGAGATGCGCTCGTTTTCGGACCCCTCCTGCTGCAGGCGGAGCATCTTGTTCTCATGCTGCAGCCGAATGAACTTCTCACTGGAAAAGCCGACCAGAATCGCAACATCAACACATAATATTAATAATAATAATTTGATCCAGTGCTTTATCACATGTTCTGGTGAGCGACCAATTTAATCTGAGGGATTATTGACCAGGACACCGGGAGAGAGCGAGAGAAAAACTCCCTTCTCTTTTCGAATAGTGCCATGGGATCTTTAACTTCCACCTGAACAGGCGGTTTAATGTCTCGTACGAAGGACGGTACCTCTGGCAATGCAACAACATAAACTCCTACCGCTCAGAAGGAGGCCATTCGGCCCATCGTGCCTGTGCCGGTTCTTTGAAAGAGCTTCCCAATCAGTCCCACTCCCCCTGCTTTCACCCCATAGACCCGCAAATGTTTCCTTTTCAAGTCCCTATCTAAATGAATTCCCTTTTGAAAGCTATTATCGAATGTGCTTCCACCGCCCTTTCAGGCAATGCGTTCCAGACCATAACAACTCTCTGGGTAAAAAAAAATATTGTCTCCCCTCTGGTTGTTTTGACAATTATTTTACATCTGTGCCCTCTGGTTACCCACTCACCCACGAGAGGAAACGGTTTCTCCCTGTCTACTCCACCAATAACAAATTTAATTTTATACAGCGTCTTTTATGACTGAACCATCTCCTGGAGGTGCTCGACACCCAAGCTGGTGGTGGGTGATAACAAGGCTTACTTTTGTTTTAAGGAAGATAACACATTACATGGATTTACAAACCCACCTGGACTCTATAGGAAGCAATTCATCAGCAAAGTGTTCCTGGGAATCCAAAGAAAATTTGCCTGAGGAAAAAAAATTAGTAATGCTATAAAATGAAGCAAACTGAAATGGACTTATTGCGAAACAGGGTTTCCTTACAGAGGTCACAAAATATTCACACGATGCACATAGGAGGCCATTCAGCCCATCCAGCCCTGTTCTAACGGTTATGACAGATCTTTTAATATTTTAAGGTTTGTTTTTAGCAGTTCTCTGGCACGTCATAACAAACCAAATACTACTAATAATAACCTTTGTGTTTGATACGGCGAACTTATTGCGCTGTTGAGACATCTCAAAGCGCTTCACGGAATATACTGTAAAGTTCAAAAAGCAAATTCATATTCGCCCCCCACTCACCCACCGCCTCCCCCCACCCACCCACCACCCACACACACATAAAAATACAGGAAGACCGAATTGAAGCCCTTAAGGGAAAATTCCGTGCCCAGAATACAAATAATTAACTGCTGCAAGCGAGTTTTACCAAAACGTACACCCGACAAATGTTCTGATCTGGTAGAGACTCGCTTTACAACCGTTGCTTTACCTGATTGCAACAAGTGGTCTTGTTGCACTTGTGTGCATTTGAGTTCCTCGTTGGTCTCTCTCAAAGTGTCACGTTCTATTATTACCCGCTGATGGTAAAGAGAAATGCTCTGTTAAACAACAGCCATCTGCAGCTCTACAGTTATGAAAATTGGTTGCTTTTTTTAAAAAAAAGGGGGTGCCCGGGCGAGTGGGGGGGGGGAGTGGGAGGCAGGAGGTGGAACAGAGACTGACCAGGGCTCAGATCAAATCCCGAAAAGTTCAAGTGATTTACAGTTGTTACTCTTAAACACACCAGACTTTCTGTTTTAACCTGAGAGCTCCGAGATGCCTCCTTGTGTGACGGATGAAGTCCCACTGTTGTTGTTGAAAATACCATGATGTCATGGAGTGGTGGTAACTGGTTTATATTTATGCTCCGAGTTTGTTTGCATTCAATAACGATTAGCTTTGCATTTGACATTCAAACAGTTAGGCACAGTTACGTGATGCTGTATATTCCACCCTGTTCAACATTGTGTTAAAATGCAAGTTACCTATGTAAGTTAGATAATTATTTGGGGAGGACATGTTTGCAGTGCTATGGGGAGAGAGCAGGGGAGTGGATTGATTTGGGTAGTTCTTTTCAAAGAGCCGGCGCAGACACAATGTGCCAAATGGCCTCCTTCTGTGCTGTATAATTCTATGATGCCTCACATGTGCCTCAAATACAATCATCTGTCTGCTTCAAGACCGGTTCAAGACCTACCTTTAACTGCGCTTTCAGCCATCTTTCCCTCCCCAACCCCCCATGATTGTTAGGTGCCATTGAAAGACACTGTGGAAATGTAAATTTGCATTGTATTGTGCTATAATAATCCTTGCATTTAATACGGCACCTTATCACGTCTTCGAGACGTCTCAAAGCGCTTCACGGAATATACTGCAAAGTGTAGTGACTGTATATTTTGTGGGTGAAATGTGGCAGCCAATTGCGCACAGCAGCGTCCCACAAACATCGTGGATTGAGTAACCAAAGCGATTATAATAATAATAATAATAATAATCCTTCCATCTGATATAGCGCTTTTCACGTCGGGAGGACGTCCCAAAGCGCTTCACAGAATATACTGTAAAGTGAATTGACTGTATATTTGAGGGCAAACGTGGCAGCCAATTGTGCACAGCAATGTCCCACAAACAGTCGTGGATTGAAAATTACCAACTTATTATTGTTTTGTTTTTTTGGAGGGATTATTATTAGGCTCTGTGTGGAGTAAGGAAACTTGGCCAAGGTGGCGAAACCTGGAATTGAACTCAGGTCTCTCACTTGCAAAGCGAGTGCTCTAACCACTGAGCTACAGGACTCCACTTAGCCCCGGAAAGCGATCCACCAATCGACTAACAACTGGGTTCCTACTGACTGCTAGTTAACAGAGGCGTGAGCGTGGAGTTAGGAAACGTGCCTAAGGTTTCGCCCTCAGCCTGGGAATCGAACCCGGGTCCTCTTGCCCATAAGACGAGCGCTCTAACCAATATTCTACAGGCTCCACTCCTTCATCTATCGCCTTCAAGGCCTGTCTTAAAACCTACCCCTTCTGACCTCGCTTTCGGTCATCTTTCTGCCTCCCCATCCCTCGGCTCAAATGCCCAGACATTTTGGTTTAAAAAGATGTTGCGTAAATGTAAATCTGTTGTGGTTGCGCGGGGACAAAATAGAAAATAGGAACTTGAATAGTAAAACAAAAGCACCAATTGTGGGAAGGGAGGGAGGCAGGGAGGGAGAACGTAAAGATTGTTTTATTCTGTGGGAGCACCACTGTATTACGTGTGGTTACTGAGAACCGCCAGCAGAAGTCGCCAAACTCCTCTTAAAGGAGAGGGTATCTGATTTCCTCTGTGGTACTTAACTTTGCTCACCGTGTTTTTCTCTCGGTAATTTTCATTGAAAGGGTTCCTGGGTTCACCCCTTTCCCCCAACCCCCCTTCCCCTCTTCCCCCAACCCCTGCCCGTCTCCCCCATAAACTTCCAATTCAAGAGGATTGTTTATTTGTACATCAATCCTCTTGATTATCAAACTATGTTCAGGTCTATCATGTGCAGAGGGACGTCTCAATGTGCTTCACAGATATTGTTATAATAATAATAATATTAATAATCCTTCCATTTGATACAGCGCCTTATCAAAGTGCAGTGATTAGTGTTTGTAGGTGACAGCAGCCCATCTACACACAGCAGCGTCCTGGAAATAAATGTGAATGAACTCCACAGCTAAAATTTAATCGGAGTCTAGGCTTGGACTATTTTCTTAGCATTTCAAACCATGCAGAATTTTGGAAAATTCATATCCACAGGTGAAGTTTCAGGTCTTGGGATTTAATGCATTTCACCAAGGTAAGATCGCTAAACTTTCAGCTTCCAGCCACTACGCCCCGAATCTCTAGAGCTCCCAGCCTCAATCTCTCTGTCTTTCCCCCTTCTTTGCCTCTCTTCGGGTCACAACTGAGAACCTTTCCCTTCTGCCTACCCCTCCCCCCCTTTCTCCGCAAATCAGCTTCGAACTCCACCCCTGATCTGCGCTCCAAGACGCTACCCGGTACGTAAATGTAAGTTGTAATTTTGGTATGCACTCACCTCTTTCTCCTTCAGGAGGGTCTCTTGCTTTTCCTCCAGCTGCTTCAGCTCAAAGTCCAATTTGTCTGCTCGTCTCACCTCTTTAGACAAGTCGCTGTGAAGCTCCTGCACCTTTGGAACAACACCAAATTAGATTTGTAAATGGCTTTCCACGTCGGGAGGACGTCCCGAGATACTGGACGGTCAAGGATTTGGTCCCGAGCTGGGAGGTGGGGTCGGGAGGGTGGGGGAGGTGGAGGGCGGAGTGGGGGTGGGGGGGGGTTGGGGTGGAGTAAGAGGGTAACCGAAGGCACGGTTGAAGAGGAAGCCACCCAGCAATATTCTAATTCTTCCATTCAGTGATTTCATCAGTAGTGTTGGGGGGGAACGTGACAAGTGGGTTGAGACATGCAGCAGCTATGGTGCAAGTGCTACCCTGTTGGGGTTTTAGTTTCACTTTCCTGCACCTCCCAGGCAGGTTGGATGGTCGATAATGCCTTGAACCACTTTAGCGGGTGTGTTGTACGGCAAATTGGAAAGGGTGAAGGGCTGAGTGCACTCAGTCGGTCGGTCTCCAAAGTTTAGACCTCAACCAATGGAAATAAACATCCATCAATATCCATCGATAAAAGTGGATTCGAGAGAGAGTAGTGGAGCCGGGCGAGGATTGGTAAACCTGTGGAAAACTAGGGAAGAGGAATTTCTTCAATTTTGAGCAGTTTGCAATATATAATAATAAAAATAATCCTTGGATTTGATCTAGTGCCTTCTCACGTCTCAAAGAACTTCACAGAATATATTGTGAAGTGTAGTGTGCGGGCAAAACAAGTGGAAGCCAGTTGCGCGCAGCAGTGTCCCACAAACAGTCTTGGATTGAGTGATCCAATTTTCTGTTGCTTTCGTTGGAGGGATTATTACCCCAGAAATAGCGGCCCGCCAATCGACTATCAACCGGGTTCCTACTTACTGCTCGGTAAACAGAGGCGTGTGGAGTAAGGAAAGTCGCCTGAGGTAACGTGAAACATTTCCGTTTCACTTTAGCCTAAAACGCAGGCTGACAGAGGAAGCACAAGACACTTGGCTCGGATTTTTACGTGGTTCCTACTTGTCTTTTATAGGTCTCCAGCTGAACGCGTGCGTTGGTGGTTTTCCGAAGCTCCTCCTCCAGGCTGACCATGCTCTGCAGGTAAACCGTGTTCTTGTCCTCCAGCAAAGTCATCTGTCGGCGTAAGTCATTTAGGTCGTCCACCTTCTTCTTGTGGGCCTCCAGCGTGGCCTCCAGTTTAGCTGCTTTGTCTGAGGAATTCCTGCGGGAGGAACGGTGGTCAGAGCACTCTCAGTAACTCGAGAGTGGACACAGGGAAGAAAGGCAATAGAGGGGAGCAGGAGAGGGGGAATGGGAGGGGTCTGGGCTTGTGTGCAGCGTAAACACTGTGACAGACTGGTCGGGCCGAATGGTCTGTTTCAGTGCTGCCGCACTCTGTGTTACACGATAAGTTTACGGCAAACACAAGAATGAAAATCAGACTTTTGATGGACAAAGAGGTCCTATTAGTTTCAAAACATTAGGATGGACGATATAGAAATTCATTGGTATCAAAGGACATGAATCCAGACCTTCAGGTAGAACCACACAACGTGACATCAAAATGTTTTACCGTTCTTCTACTGACCAGAATACAAATTGCCAAACCTCAGCTCCGCTCTGCCACAAGAATGCTGACACAACCCAGCAAAGATTCCCAGAACGACAGAGATTCAAACGAACAGAAACACCGAGCACACAGGGTCGGGCTGTCAAACGTACGGACACACATTCAAAGACACTTCACAAACATACCAACCGAACAAATGCTTTAACACGTGAAAAGCTTCTAAGACCCAGACGGTGGAACACTGCCTGCTTTATTAGCAGAAATCCTCTCCTGTCCACCGGAGCTGTGTTTCCTCACTACCTACTTATTTCATGGGCAGATGGTGTCACTGTGGGAATGGCAACCATCACGACTGATGTCCAAGTTTCTTCAAAGGACACGTTGAGAGGACAAGGGAGGGAGATATCCCCTGGAAAAGGCACGATAGCGAGTCGATGGAAAAACACGCAGGCAACGCAGAACCCTTTGGGAAAAAAACTGCTTGCAACTATCTTAGGATGACAGGAGGATCTATAATAATAATAATCCTAGCATTTGATACAGTACCGTATCACATCCTTGAGAAGTCTCGAAGCGCTTCACAAATCCATACTGTAAAGTGCAAATGTAATTTTGTTGTTGTTGGATCGACCGTAATTTGTGGGCAAAATATAGCAGCCAATTGCGCACAGCAGTGTCCCACAAACAGTCGCAGACTGAGCGACCAAATTAGTATTATTTATTTTGTTTGAAGGGGTTATTACCCCAGGAAAAAGATCTGTCGATCATCTAACAACCTAGTTGTTACTTACTGCTGGCATTTGGAGTAAGGAAACGTGCCTAAGGTTTCATTCTGCCCGGGAATCGAACCCGGGTCCTCTCGCTTGAGAGGCGAGCGCTCTAACCACTGAGCTACAGGACTCTTAATTTTCAGTCGAAGTGACTAGAGCATTAGTGGGAAGAAAAGATGTGTATCTCGTTTGTTACTCTCTAGTTTATTATACCTCAGCACATCAACCTCGTCCTTGAGAGCACGATTCTCTTCGGCCAAGCTGTTCAGCTCATCGTTCCGGTGTTGGACCTCAATCAGCTGCCTCTCCAACTCCTCACAGTGAAGACGATAATCATCTTTCGCAGCTTCAAGTCTGGGTGGAGGGCGACAGCAAAAAAACAAAAGGTTTGTTGTTTTTGTTTGATAACCACATGCAAGCAACGTCACATCGATAATAAAAGAGGTGCAGGACGCTACCCCACGTGAAGGGCGCTATATAAACGCAATTTGTTATTGTTGTAAATTACTTAATAAACTCAGAGTTTATTAATCTGGAGTCCTGTAGCTCAGTGGTTAGAGCACTCACAAGTGAGAGCAACTGGGTTCGATTCCCGGGCAGGGCAAAACCTCGAGCAAGTTTCCTTACTCCACACGCCTCTGTTTATCCAGCAGAGAGTAGGAACATGGTTGTTAATCGATTGGCAGATTGCTTTTCTGGGGGTAATAATTTCTTCAAAAAATAAATTAATAAATAAAACAAAATAATTATAATTTGGTCACTCAATCCGCGATTGTTTGTGGGACGCCGCTGTCTGCAACTGGCCGTTACGTTTCATAAAATAATAATAATAATCCTTGCATTTTGATATAGCGCTTTTCACGTCGAGAGGACGTCCCAAAGCGCTTCACAGAACACACTGTAAAGTGAATTGACTGTATATTTGTGGGCGAACGCGGCAGCCAATTGCGCACAGCAATGTCCCACAAACAGTCGTAGATTGAAAATGACCAATTTATTATTGTTTTTGGTTTTTTTTGGAGGGATTATTATTAGGCTCTGTGTGGAGTAAGGAAACTTGCCCAAGGTTTCGCCCTCTGCCTGGAATTGAACTCAGGTCTCTCGCTTGCAAAGCGAGTGCTCTAACCACTGAGCTACAGGACTCCACAAAATATACAGTCAATACACTTTACGGTGTATCCTGAAAAGCGCTTTGAGACGTCTTGAAGACGTGATAAGGCGCTACATCAAATGCAAGGATTATAATTATTATTATTAAAGGAGATTGAGTCAGAGTCATCCATTTGTGCCAAGGACTTTCCTGAAGCAAATAAAAGATTCCCAACTTTTTGGTGCTCATCACCAAGACCACAAACTAAAGTTGCTTTCACCAACTCCATGTGGACAAACTCCACATGTTTGTGAGATGCCGCTGTGCGCAAATTGGCTGCAAACTTACTGTTCCAACATGGCAAATACTTTAATTTGCGAACGGCAACGTCCCGAATACAGCCATGAAGTGAGTGACCGGTTTTATTTCATAGAATCATAGAATCTTAATAACCTCGCATTTGACAGAGCCTTATCATGTCTTCGAGACGTCTCAAAGCCTCTTCACAGAATATATTGTAAAGTGAATTGACTGTACATTTGTGGGTGACAGAACAGCACAGCATAGAAAGGGGCCATTTGGCTTATTGTGTCTATATCAGCTGTTTGAAAGAGCTACACAACTAGTCCCACGCACCCACACTTACCCCATAGCCCTGAAAATTTTTCCTTTCTAAGTACCCGTCCAATTCTCTTTTGAAAGCTACTATTGAATCTGCCTCCACCACCCTTTCGGGCAGTGCGTTCCAGATTCGGGAGATTTGGGTGAAGAAATGCAATGCAGGTTACGGGAGTTTGGAAGGAAACCAGAGGAGAGGGGAAAAAAAATATAAATGAAAGAAGTAAAAGGGGAAATGAGGAAAAGGGGAAAAGGACAAAGTAATGAGGGAACAAACCTCATTACTGGTTGAGGGAACAAACCTTATTACTGGGTTCGCACCACACACATACACACACACCACACACATACACGCACACACATCACAGACACACACACACACACACCACAGACACACACATAAAGGGCCAAATAGCCTCTGCCTGAACATTTCTGGTACTATGGGGAAAGAGTGAGGAGTCTCAGGGGAGTGAGACTGATTGGGTAGTTCTTCCAAAGAGCCATCACAGGTACTATGGACCGAATAGCCTCCTTCAGCGCTGTAATATTCGGTGATTCTATCTGACCACCAAAATGTCTCGAAAAACACAGCTAGAAAAATAATCGTTGCCTTAATTTATCCTACAAGAAATTCCAGTCTTCAGGAAGAATTCTTCCCTCTCCCCCACCAAACCCCTCCCTCCGAACACTTCCTGTGTTTTTATATTGTACACTTGGATCCATTTTCAGGCCCATTTATTGCTCAATTTAAACTTTCTCCCATCATAATCCCAGCGGAGTTTTTCCACTGTAGCCAAGAAGAGACACGGCGACTGAAGCAAAAGGAGGAGGACGCCATAAATTAGGCAATCAATTAGGCGCATAATAGGAAGCAGAGGGTGCTTATCAACGGTAATAGTTCCAACTTGGCAGTTGTGACAAGTGGAGTCCCTCAGGGATCGATCCCGAGCCCGATGCTGTTGGTAGTATTTATGGATGACCTTGATTTATGGTGACCTTCAATTTGCGGAGGACACTAAATTGTGTGAAAGCAAAATGCTGTCAGGATAACAAAGGACACGGCTACACTTTATCTGAACTGTGATTTTTCATGTTAATTGCAATGGGGGGGAGGGGGAAAGTGCCCCAAATTGAAAGATGTCCCAAATCTGTCCATTGAGACTAGCAAAGATATACACACATCACATACCATACATACAACCATCACCCCCACCCACCACACACACCATATCACACACACACCACACACCACATACCACACACACACCCATCACACACACACACCACACCACACACACCACACACACCATATCACACACACATCACACACACCACACACACCACATACCACACATACAGCCATCACACACACACCACACACACCATATTACACACACTACACACACATCACATACTACACATACAGCCATCACACACACACCACACAGACACACCACAGACTATATACTAGACATACAAGCATCACGCGCGCACACACAATCACCACACACATGCACAACCACCACCACCATACACATAACAAAAACAACAACAACAAGATTACATGTGTATAGTGCCTTTCACGTCGGGAGGACGTCCCAAGATGCTGGACAGAGTACAGCATTTCAGACCTGAACTGGGGTCGGGGGGGGGAGGGGAGGGGAAGGGGTGGGTGGCCGATGGAATGGTTGAAGAGGAGGGTCTTGAGGCGGGACTTGAAAGAGGCTAAGGAGGAGGCGAGGCAAACCGCACCACATACACACACACAATCAGCTTAACCTTTACAACAATCCTTACATTTAACACAGCGACTTGCACATCGGGGGGACATTCTGAAGGCGATTCACAGGGTAAACTGTAATTTGCAGTCAAACACAGCAGTCAATTTGCACCACAGCAAATGTTCACCTTCTTGCCTTGCTCCCCCTACCTCCCATCTCTAAAATAAAAACATCTTCCAAGAAGACGATCAGAGAGTTCCCTTTTTGAGTCAGGCAGGTTTCCTCTTTTTTCCCTTAAATAGACATTGTAGTGGAATCCATCTTTCTATTGTTCAATCATACTGTGATTTCTAATGGTATTCCATCATTAGTAATCTGAGTGAGGACTCCCTCTGGTAAAACAACGGATTAGGCGGCAATGGGAGAAAGGAAATGAACACCAAATATAATGTGAAAGATTATAATTCTAATAAGTGATCAATAATATTGATAGGGCCTACACCAGAGAAACCTCTTGGAGATCTTCAAGGAAATTGTAGTGACTGGAGGATGCTTCAGACAGTTGGACCCATGAAAGCTGGGACATTGTGAAAATTATTATTAAAGGTTCTAGAGAAGACGATTAGAGCAGAAGGTAAACTGGTGTGTCTTCAAGGTCCTCACACATAATTTCTCCCGCGCTGTAGCACCTCCCTACCTGCTCGTGTCCCACTCCTCTGCCCCTGCTCTCCGCCCAGGCAGGGAACATGGGCCTAGCCTGCCCCCTCCCTCCAAACCACCATGGCTGAGACTTCAGACTCTGGAACTCCCAGCTTCTCTCCATCCACTTCCTACATTTCCTACATGTCTTAAATCTATCTCTTCGATCATGACTATGGCTACTTCCCTCTTCCTCCTTGCTTGGAGCCCAGCCCCTGTGCAGCACTCCGAGACTTTAACCTAAGTGAGAGGCACTGTATCAACAACAGCAACAACAACAACTTGCATTTATATAGTGAATTCACGTACTGTGGTTTCACCTGGAAACCCCATTCCATCTTACGTCAATTACGTCATCTTACGTCGAACGGGACCTACGTTTCGCCCACAAAATAAGAGTCACTACACTTTACAGTATATTCTGTGAAGCGCTTTGAGACATCTCAATGACATGATAAGGTGCTATATCAAATGCAAGGATTATTACTATTATTATTACCTGTAATTTTCTTCTTGCAACTGATCGAGCTGATGTTGGAAACCAAAATACTTCCTGCCGACAAGGCTGCTGGGATCTTCGAATGAATCCAGTTGGTTTATTCTCTCAGTCATCAGATCATTCTCAAGCAGTAGGCTGTTTCTCTCCTCTTGGAGGCTAGATACCTGAAAGGCACAACTAACATTTTGAGTAACAATGGCACAAATGTGCCAGCCTGGCTCAGTCATCAGCTATCTCACCTCTCATAACATAACATAACATAACACATGTAGGAGCAGGAGTGGGCCATTCGGCCCTTCGAGCCTGCCCCGCCATGCAATCATGGCTGATCTTCTAATCTAACTCCTAATAACCTGACCCTTCCTTACCCCCATATCCCTTAATCCCTTTTGCAATAAGAAATCTCTCTATCTCAGTCTTGAATATGCTCAAGGACTGAGCGTCAACAGCCCTTTGGGGTAGTGAGTTCCATACATTCACTGCCCTTTGAGTGAAGAAGTTCTTCCTTAACTCAGTGCGAAAGGGCTGCCTCTGATTTTAAGGTGTGACCCCTGGTTTTAGTTTCTCCAACCGGGGAAACAATCTCCCACTATCTACTCTATCATTGCCCTTTGATGATCTTATAGGTTTCTATAACATCCCCTCTAATTCTTCTATATTCTAGAGAATATAGACCCAAATTGGTCAGCCTGTCCTCGTAACTCAACCCCTTCATTCCTGGTACTAACCGAGTAAATCTACACTGCACCCCCTCTAAGGCAAGTACATCCTTCCTTAAATAAGGTGACCAAAACTGCACACAGTATTCCAGGTGTGGTCTCACCAGGGCCCTATACAGTTGCACAAGACTTCCCTACTCTTATACTCTAATCCTTTCATAATGAATGCTAACATACCGTTCGCCTTCCTAATTGCTTCAGGGTTCAGGGTTTCAGACCCCCCCACAATCCCATTGGAGCTTTGGACTCACATATTCAGCACCCTCCCTTGCCTCCCTTGCCTTCTTCCCCCCTCTTCGACGACTCCTTCAGTCACCCTTCTACCCCCACCTTCCCTGCCCTCCATCCCTCCTGATCCCAACCCCCAGCTCAGGTCCAAATCCCTGACTGTTCAGTACCTTGGAATGTCCTCCCGACGTGAAAGTTGCTGAGTAAATGCAATTTGTTGTTGTTTGTATTTGAAAAAAAGGGAGTTTCTCTGTCCTAGCTCCAGGCCAACAGCCCCCGATTAAAAAATGTCATTCATTGCATGGCTATTGGTGTGTGCAAATAAAATAAACAGTCACTACAATTTAGAGTAAATCCTGTGAAACATTTTAAGATGTCCTCCTGACATGAAATGGCACAATATCATATGGAAACATGTATAACACATGCTATATCATATAGTATGAACATCTTATGCGTCATTCCTTCAAAACAATATTTTCCTGATAATTTCGCTCCATTCTAGTTTCCAAGTGAGATAATTCAAACCTGATCTTGATCTCGTCCTTAAATCATAGAACCATTGAATCTTACAGTGCCTTGGCCCATCGTTCCTGTGCTGGCTCTTCGAAAAGAGCTACCCATCTCGTCCCACTTCCCACTCTTTCCCCAAAACCTTTCAATTTTTGTTCTTTTGAAGTAAATATCCAATTCCTCTTTGAAACTCATGATTGAACCTGTTTCCACCAGCCTTTCAGGCAGTGCGTTCCAGACCGTAACAGCTCACTGCGTAAAAAAAAAATTTACTTCATCTTCCCACTGGTTCTTTTGCCAATTATCTTGAATAAATCAATGGATGTCTATGTTTTAGTTTGTGCACAGCTTGCTATTTTAACTAATACTCTTATAATCTTTGTATTTGTACAAAGCCGGTAATGTCTCAAGTGCTTTCAAGGTTATCACGTTGAGTGTAGTGACTCTTTATGTCGCAAAAGCAATGTCTCTTTTAGCACTGCCAGTTTCTAAATATTAACGAGATTCTATAGCAAGTTCACACTCAGTAAAGCCGTCTTTGGCTGTATCATGGCTTCCATTAGCGCAGCTGAAATTTAGATGCTCGAAATGAGGAGCAAAAATATTTTGAGTTCAAATCCCATGGGTGTGAAATTAGGCTCAATTTTGCGAGAGTTTTATTTAGTCAGGTGCAGCTTGTGAAGTCAACACAGATCACGAGTGTTTATGTGGGGGGTGGGGGTTGGTGGGCTGGGCTGTGGGCAGAAAGCACAAATGAAACGAGACACTTTCCCTTGTGGGACTTCAGCAAACCCACCTGCAACAATAAAAGAGGCATTCATATCCCAAAATAATAAGCAGGTCACCGAGAATGACATCGTCATCTTTCCAACCCCGCGCTACTTACCTTGGTTTCAAAATTAATTTCCCCATCTGCAACCCCTGAGATTCATTGTTGTTTCACTTGGGAACAGGAGGAGGCCATTTAGCCCCTCGAGCCTGTTCTGACATTCTATAAGATTGTGGCTGATCTGTACTTCAACTCCAATTCACTGTCTTTGCCCCATATCCCTTGATACCCTTAGCTAACACAAATCTATCCGCCTTATGTCTTGAAAATGTAAATGGATCCAACATCCACATCATTTTGGAGGAGAGAGAGAGTTCCAGATCCACTACGCTGTGTGATAATTTATTCTTGAAGACCATCAAGGATTGGGGGTGGGTTGGGTTGGAGACATCCCTGTCCCCACACCTCCGACCCCCAAGCTATGCATCACCAGGACTCTGGGAACCAGCCTAGCTCTGAGAGAGTTTCTGCCAACATGGGTCTATTATCCTCACTGAGAAACATAGACACTTGCCCACCACATACACGCCCACCTGGGGAAAAATAACTGAAACCAAACAAAATATCGCCTCAAGAAAATGAAGCTACACCCAACAATTCTGACCAAGACAGAGGATGACTTTGGGTTGGATGCAACAAACAGACAAACAGAGTGTCCAACATGAAGAGGGATATTTGGTTCCTTGCGCACTTTCCAGCATTTTTCAGTAAATCCAGTGAAGCCCTTTTGAGGATTATTATCCCTTTGAAACTCCATCCCATAGTCCCATCACCTCACCCTCTCACTTGTTTCCTACAAAGTCCATGTTAAGACCTTCCTCTTCCACCATGCCTTTGACCACCCTCCTACCCTACCCTCACTGCCCTCCACCCCTCCTGATTCCGTTCTCCCAGCTCAGGTGAGGATCCCTGACTGTCCAGCGCCTTGGGACATCCTCCCGACGTGAAAGACGCTGTGTAAATGTAATTTGTTGTTGTTGGTGAATGTTGTGAATGTTGGAAGGACAAAATGCATCTGAAGCACCTCACCCAGACCTAGTGATTCATACAGGAGGAGCCCATGTGGAAGACGTTGGATTAACATGGACTGACCTGAATATCTAGTTCATTACATCGCTGAGTCAGCTCGTCCTTCTCCCTCACAGCCTCACTGAGATCATCAAGTGCTCTTCGAAGCTGCAATATTAAAAATCAATCTTGATATCCACTTGACATTCCTTGTAAGGAGGAAGCACTTGTCAAAAATCAGCAGGAATTATGTCTAATAGTTTAGGAGCCTCAATGTATTTAAGAGAAAACTTGATGCAGACACGAGGAGAAGGGAATAGAGGGGTGGAGGAGAGAGGAATAGGAGAGGTGGGAGCTCATGAAGTTTATAAATTCCGGCACGGACTAGTTGGTCCGAATATATGGGATAGTTCTATGTAACTCATGTGCTTTCAGATAATGATTGTGCAGTTTCTATTGTGCAGTTGTACTTGTTATATTCAGTGTTTAATAATAATAATAATAATAATAATTAAAGCCACTTGTCCTTAGTCTGCTACCCATCTCTTTACCTGTTGTTCTGAGTCCGCAGACACTTCAGTTCCAATCGCGACTGTCAATTCTTTGCTCATGAGCTGCAGTGGGAAATTAAAGAATATATTATTTAGTAACTGTTTGGATCTTGTGCCCCCAGCCTAAGTGAGAAGGCATAAAGCTTGCATTGTCCCATCTCTTCACCAATGCTATTCTGAAAAGCTGCATCAATAACTATTGTACGACAAGATTCTACCCTACAGGGCAATAATAGCAATAATAATAAATCTTGCATTTCATACAGCGCCTTATCACGTCATTGAGACGTCTCAAAAACGCTTCACAGAATATACTGTAAAGTGAATTGACTGTGTATTTTGTGGGCGAAACACAGCAGCCAATTGTGCACAGCAGCGTCCCACAAACAGTCGCGGATTGACTAAGTATCAACTCGTGAACAAGTCCTGTAGCTCGTCACACCGTGGTGCGCTGGTGGTGTAGTACTGGCTCGCTGCAAGCCAGGCGAACATGCTCTAGCTGCTGACTTGCTGCTGCGCACAGGCAGCTCACAGGAAGTGCTGTCAGCGGCGACTCGTTGACTTGGAAGCGTTGACTGGCAGGTCATTATTTTAGCCGCGCGCCCCCACCCCACCACCCACTGTTATAATGCGGGATCTGAGTTCATGAGCCGCCACACTGGATCGATTTCAAGATCCTCTCGCTCGTCTTCAAATCACTTAATTCCCTCCCACTTCCCTACCCCTCTCCGACTCGGCTGCCTCCAGTTTGTCCCTTGTCCACCATCGGTGGCCGTGCCTTCGGCCACTATGCCTCGAAACTCTGTCACTCTCTCCCTCAATCCCTCTACCTTGCCCCCAACCCTCCCCAATTTCAAATCCTGCCTAAAGACTTCCTTCTTGATTGTGCTTACGGTCACCTGCTCCCTCTCTCTCTCCCCCGGCTCACGGTCAGACTCCGACACTGTCAAGTGCCCCAGGGCGCAACCCCGTGTGAAGGGCGTTATATAAATATAAGCTGATTTGGTTGTAATTGTATTTAGACTCCGTCTGGTTTGTGTGAGCAAAATAAAGCTGCCTTGCCTCTTGAATGGCTGTCATCACATTATGCTGTACAGATTCTTCCAGGGTCATTATCGTCTCGATATGCTCTGCGATGGAAACAGATTTTTAATTTTAGTAAAAAGAAATGTTTCACGCAAAATTCAAACACTGTACTTGCTCGTCTTCGTAAATTCCTTATATGGAATATTTAGTATTTTTAGTGAGAAAACACATGTTATACACCAAATATACAATCCCATATATGTATTAAATATAGAAACTCCCTTATGTATTAAATATACAAAGTCGCCTATGATATAAATGATAAAAATATATAGTTTTGGCCTGTTGGGCGTCTGACACGTGCAGAAATGCCGTGCTTAAGAGTATTCAAACTGAGAATTCCATGCATCCCACAGATTGTTGGAATGGAATCCGCTTTCTCTCTCTCTCCCGCTGGAGGGACACACCATGCTTACCTTATTCCGGAGTGTATCAGGCACAGGTTAGCCAAGAGCCAAGGCTTAGGGAACCGAAACTGTGTGGCCGCAGAGACTCACCCTGTTTCCTCTCGCAGTTCACAGCACAACCCAGGATCAGTTGCAGTAACCGGCCCAGCTCCAGTGGGTCTGATTGCTCGACCAGGGTGTTCAGATCCGGGAGGGGAAAGTCCGTGATCTGGAGGCTCAGAACCTGTAAACAGCCGTCGCTTACTAACGACCTACACACGGGAAGGTTGTCGATACCCAAACAAGAGGCCTTCCAGCGGAACTATCACAAGGTTAGCAGAGGACATACATCTCTGCCGCCCGCCGTACTCTGGAACTCTATCCCGCAATCCCTCCGCCTCATCCCCTCTCTTGCCTCCTTCAAGTCCTATCTAAAGACCTTCCTCTTCGACTGCGCCTTCGACCACCTTCCCACCCCCAACCCCACCTGCCCTACATCGCTCCTGACCCCATCTCCCAGCTCAGATCCAAAATCTGGCCTCTGGGACGTCTTTCCGACGTGGAGGGAGTTGCACAAGTGTGATTTGTTGTTGTTGTTGTATGCAGTACCGCTCACATGCACACCTTCAACTCAATGGTGAAGTCCAGGAAGTTGGACTCGCTCGTGTGCAAACCCTTGAATGTCCAGCGCCTTGGGACATCTTCCTGACGTGAAGGCACTACTGCTCTGTATAATTTGTATGATTGCCTATGGCACACGCTGCCCAATGCCCATTGAGTTTCTTTTATTTACAAATTTCACATAACTCATACTTTTGCATAAGTCAAATTCAACGTATGGTCCCAACTGATACGCCTTACGTGAGGTTTACTGGATATAAATGCAAGTTGTTGTTGTGGTAATCCTTACATTTATTGTTGTGCCTTTCATGTTGGAAGAACATCTCAAAGTAATTACAGGATATATTGCAAAGTGTAGTAACTGCATTTTGTGGACAAAAGAGGCAGCCAATTTGTGGACAGCAGTTTCCCACACACAGCTATGAGGTGAATGGCCAATTTTATGTGGGGGATTGTTGGCCACTATCTTTGGGAGAGAGAAACTCCCTTCTCTTTTCAGGTAGTACTGTGGAATCTATAATGCCCACCTGAACAAACTCAGAAGGGGCCTCTGGTTAACGTCTTGTGCAAAGCAAATATTGTTCTTCAGCAAAACAAATAAAGACTTGTTCTTACCTCCTGGTAATAATCCAGAACCATCTGGAGAATCTTCTTCAGGTTGCTCATCTGTGTGGAGAAGAGTGAACACAAACGGAAGAGTTTACGACACAGTGTGTGCCAATAGTTTTAGATTTCCAAACTCTACCATACGCCAAGGAGATAATAATGATCCTTGCATTTGATACAGCGCCTTATTACAACATTGAGAAGTCTCAAAGCACCTCAGAGAATATACTGTAAAGTGAATTTACTGTGTATTTTGTGGGCAAAATGCCAATTGCGCAGAGTAGCGTCCCACAAACAGTCATGGATTGAGTGACCAAATTCTTATTAATTAAAATTTTTGTTGAAGGGATTATTACAACCGGAAAACGATCTGTCAGTCAATTAACAACCAGGTTCCTACTTACTGCTAGGAAAACAATGGCGTGTGGAGTAAGGAAACTAGCCTAACATTTGCTCGGCCCGGGAATGGAACCTGGATCCTTCTCGCTTGTGAGGCGAGTGCTCTAACAATTACGTGACAGGATGCCCAGTGTCTGTGTATTTTTTAGTCAAACGCAGCAGCCAGTTTTCACAAAGGAATATCTCACAGACAGCCATGAAGTGAATGACCAGATTTATCTGGGGGTAGGGGGGAGAATTGTCAGCCAGGACACCGACAGAGACTCCTTTCTCTTCCAATAGCGGAGTGGAAATCTGAACAGGCGCAGACAGGACCTCGGTTTAATGTCTTATGCAAAGGATAGCACCTCCGACAACACAGTGATTCCCCAAGCGCTGTATTGCAGAGTCACTGCGGCCAAATCTGTAAGCTCAAAGTCTCCGATGGTGGGATTGTATGGAATCCACTGTACTTTTTTACCACAATAACACTAACAGTCACACAAACGCAAAGGGCCAAGTCGGGCTATGCCCATTCAGACACGGTACCTTCAACCTGGAATTGTCTCCCACATCGTCTTTAATGCGGCTTAACCATGAGTCATCAAACCAGGAGGAGTCTCTGTAAGAGACAAGGAAAACAGGCCAGCAGATTACACACCAGGAGGGGATCCCTTCCTAAAGGCCATCGACAGGAACATCGCTTGAAGATTTAAGCCGGTGAACATTTTTTGAGAAGTCTTAAACTCTTAAAGGTCGATAACCAGAGCACATAGATGTAAGGTAATTGACAAAAAGAACAGACTCAATAAGAACTTTCAAAAGGGAATTGGAAAGTATTTGAAAAGGAAGAATTTGCTGAAGAACTGATTGGGCAGCTCTTTCAAAGAGCCAGCACAGGCACGATGGGCTGAATGGCCTCCTTCTGTGCTGTAATATTCTATGATTCTAAAACTCAACCTTCATCTGGAATCTGGTTATTCTTAGTTCTTAGAAAAAAGGATAAAAAGGGTTTGTTACAAAACACAGCAGAGAGACAAGAGGACCAAGAGGAGGACATGATTATGTTATATATTATATATTATTATATTATATATGTTACACACTTTGGGGTAAGAGCGGGAGAGTGGGATTAGTTGGGTAGCTCTTTCAAAGAGCAGGCACAGGCACGATGGGCCTCCTTCCATGCTGTAGGATTTTATAATTCTACTGAGCCAATGCATGTTTAACAGGTGAGTTATACTCACAGAGGACCTTATGGAGATGTATAAAATTTTAAACGGGTTTGAAGGTAAACCCAGAACAATACTTTCAGATACACTGAGTCAATAGAACATGAGGACCCAAGTTTAGAGTTGCAAAGGGCAATTTCAGGACAGACACCAGGAAGTATTTAGTAAAACAATAACACAAAATACTGCAGATGCTGGAAATCTGAAAACAGAAACAGAAGTCGATGTTCTCACTGTAGACCCAAAATGTTGACTCACTTTCCTTTCTCCATAGATGCTGCCTGACCTGCTGAGTGTTCCCAGCGACTTCTGGTTTTGTTTTTAGGAATATTTAGTGACTAGAACACGGTTGTGGAAGGGTGGGACACTGAGACTCGTTTAAAAGCAGCTTGATGATGCTGTGATGGGGAACAGTATGGTGAGGTGTCGTTGAAGGATGAGATCAGATGGGTCGAAGGGCCTTCTCCATCTGAACCCATCTTGTGATCACAATCTTACCAAGATTGAGAATACAGTGTAAAGAGAATTTCACCTCTGGTTCCAAACAGCAGAGATTTGCGGAAGGACATCAGGAAGACTTACACTTGGTTCAGGACCTGAGCCATGGCGCTGTTCCTGATCAAATCCTGGACATTTTCACAGGGTGCCGAGACATGGAACGTCTGCAGCTGCAAACAAACGACAACAACAAATTACATTTGTACAGCGTTCATGTCAGGAGGACGTCCCAAAGGGTTGGACAGTCAGGAATCCGCACCTGATCTGGTGGTGGGGATCTGGAAGCCGTACAAAAATGGCTTTGGAATTTAAGAATTTTCCACAATTCAGTGTGTTCTTAAACAACAAAATTACATTTAATATAATTAATTAATAATTTAGTTACTCAATCCACGACTGTTTGTGGGACACTGCTGTGCGCAATTGGCTGCCGTTTCACCCATAAAGCATACAGTGAATCTACTCTACAGTATATTTGCATCTGGTTAATGCTCAGGGACAGGATGGTTTCATCAGTCCTGCAGATAATGGGACCCCTGAGAGAGGGGTGATGGAGCCTTGGACTTCAAACTTGATCAACAGATGTGAGTATTTGATGGACCAGACACCTCAAGAGGTGGTCACCCCATACACCGAGGGTTCAGACGGAAAATGACTGGGTGACTGTCCAGCATGGTAGGAAGAGGAGACGGGCTGGACAGAATGCCCCCAATAGTGTAGCACTCTCAAATCGGTACTCTGTACTGAACATTGCGAGTGTTGATATCTCCAGGGAGGACAGTATAAACCAATTGGTGGAACAGGGAGACGTAGGTAACAGGAGCAATGCTGTTGTCATAGGGGATACAACAGTGAGAGCTATAGACTGACATTTCTGTAACAGAAGACGGGAGTCAAGGATGGTATGCTGCCTCCCTTATACATCGCAGAAAGGTGGATAAAATTCTTCAGGGGGAAGGAGAACATCCAGAAGTGGTGGTCCAAGTTGGGATCCATGATATTGGTAAAAAAAAAGGGCTGAGACTTTACAGGGTCAATATCAAAAGCTGGGGAACATACTAAAGAATCGAACAACCAAGATGGTGATCTCTGGATTACTCCCTGTGCTTCGGGCAAATAAGTACCATAATGGCAGGATCAAGCATATAAATGCTTGGCTGGAGAAATGGTCCAGAAAAGAGGGTTTCAGGTTTCTGGGTCATTGGGACCAGTTCTGGGGCAGGTGGAACCTGTATCATATGGATGGGTTGCACCTAAACAGGGCTGGGGCCAATGTGCTTGCAGACAGGCTATCTAATGCTGTTGGGGAGGGTTTAAACTAGTTTTGAGGGGGGAAGGGAATGCAAAAAACGAAGAGCTAGAAAATGGAGAAAAAAAAACAGGGGGGAAGTGCAGAACAGGTCAAGTCGGTCTTGGAGTGCATGTGCTTAAATGCACGGAGTTTAGCAAACAAGATTGGTGAGCTGCAGCTCAAGTGGTCATAGGGGGATACGATGTAGTAGCAGTAACAGAGACTTGACTCAAACAAGGACAGGAATGGGAGCTGAATATTCCTGGCTATAATGTATTCAGGAGGGATAGGGAAGGACAAAAAGGAGGGGTGGTGGCAATGTTAATCAAGGTTATAGTCGTGGAAAGAGACAAGGACCCATCTAAGGTGAAGATATTCAACTGGAACAGGGCAAATTTCAGTGAGTTAAGAAGGGACCTAGCCAAGGTGGACTGGAAAGAAAGATTCGCAGGTAGAACAGTTAAAGAGCAGTGGGAAGTCTTCAAGAATGAGATAACTCGGGGACAGAATAAATACATTCCCACAAAAGGGAAAAGTAGGGCTTCCAAACCTCCATGGATGATGAAGGTAATTGTACCTAGAGTGGAGTAGAAAAAGGAGGAGTTGACAAATATCAAACCCAAAATATAGAAGACAACCAAATCGAATATACTAAGTGCAGAAGAGGTTTGAAAAAGGAAATAAGAGGGGAAAAAGATTATACGTAAAAAGGTTAGCGGGTAACATTAAAGGGAATTCTAAAATATTTTACAAACATATCAAGAAAAAAAGGCTAATCAAAGGTAGGGTGGGGCTATTTAAGGACCAAGGGGGAAATCTTATTGTGGAGGTAGAGGGCATGGCTGATGTATAAGTACTTTGCATCTGTCTTCACAAAACAAGTGGATGAATCAAATGCCGCAGTATCAGAGGAGAGGGCAGAGGAAATGGATAGGATAAGTATAAACAGAGAGGAAGTACTGAAAAGGTTGACTGCGCTGAAAGTGATAAGTCGCCCGGTCCGGACGGGATGCAGCCGAGGTTACTATGGGAGGCACGGGTACAAATAGCGGAGGCTTTGGCTACAGTTCTTCAATCTTTGTTGGACACAGGAGTGGTGCCCGAGGACTGGAGAGTGGCCAATGTGACTCCCTGTACAAAAAGGGACAGAAATACAGACCTGGGAACTCCAGGCCAGTCAGCCTAACATCAGTAGTGGGGAAACTCCTGGAGACTATAATCCGGGACAGAATAAATCTTCACTTAGAAGAATATGGGTTAATTAGGGACAGCCGCACCGATTTGTTAAAGGCAAATCTTGTCTAACAAATCTAATAGAATTTTTTGATGAGATAATGGAGAGGGGATAAAGGTAGTGCAGTTGATGTAGTTTATATGGACTTTCAAAAGGCATTTGACAAAGTTCCACAGGAAAGACTTGTAAGAAAGATAGAAGCCCATGGTATAAAAGGGACAGTGGCAGCGGATCCAGAACCGACTGGGAGACAGAGAGCAGAGAGTTGTGGTGAACGGCTGCTTTTCTGACTGGAGGGAAGTGTACAGTGGTGTCCCCCAGGGATCGGTATTGGGAGCACTGCTCTCCTTAATATACATAAATGATCTGGACTTGGGTATAGCAAGTACCATTTCCAAGGTTGCGGACAACACAAAGTTAGGGAGGGGGTAAACAGTGAGAAGGATAGGAGCCAACTGCAGGAAGACATAGACAGGTAAAATGGGCGACACGTGGCAGGTGAGTTTCAATGTGGAGAAATGCGATGTAATGCATTTTGGTAGAAAGAATGAGGGGCAATATAGGCGGTAATACAATCTTAAGGGGGTGAAGGAACAGAGAGACCTGGGGGTGCAGGTAAATGAATCCTTAAAGGTGCAGGACAGGGAGATACAGCTGTAAAAAGGGCATATGGGATACTGGGCTTTATAAATAGGGGCATAGAGTACAACAACAACAACAAGATTCCACTTATTGAGCGCCTTTCACGTCGGGAGGACGTCCCAAGGCGCTGTACAGTTGGGTCAGGACCCGAGCAGGGGGGGAAATGGTCAGGGTGAGGGGAGGGAAGGGAGGGAGTGAGGAGGGGGTAGAGAGTCGAAAGGGGAGCTGAAGGCTCGGTCAAAGAGAAAGGTCTTGAGACCGGCCTTGAAGGAGGAAAGGGAGGAGGCGGCGAAGGCACTGGGGGATGGAGTTCCAGAGCCTCGGGGCTGAGAGGCTGAAGGCCCGGCCACCGATGGTAGGGCGGTTGGGGCGGGGGATATGGAGCAGACCGGAGCCAGAGGAACGGAGGGTACGGGCAGGTAGGTAGGGGGATAGTAGGTCGGAGAGGTAGGAGGGAGCAAGGCCGTGAATGGCCTTGTAGGTGAGGGTGAGGATCTTGAATTCGATCCTCTGGGGGATGGGGAGCCAGTGGAGGCGAGCGAGGGTGGGAGTGATGTGGTCCCGAAGCCCTGGTGCGGGACAGTACACGAGCTGCAGAGTTCTGAATGACCTGCAGTGTGGAGGGAGGGCCGGGAAGGCCGGCGAGAAGAGAGTTCCCATAGTCCAGCCTTGAGGTGATGAAGGCGTGGACCAGAGTTTCAGCAGCGTGAGGGGTGAGGTAGTGCCGTAGTCTGGCGACATTCCGGAGGTGATGGAAGGCGGTGCCAGTTGTGGCGCGGATATGGGGGAGAAAGGACAGCTCAGGGTCGAACAGAACCCCGAGGTTCCTGATGGCTTTGAGAGGTGGAGAGTGCGGCCTTGGATGCTGATGCTATCAGTGCCTGAGGTGCGGAGGCGCTGACGTGAGCCAATCAGGAGGGCCTCAGTTTTGCGTACGTTGAGCTGAAGAAAGTTGTCTCTCGTCCAGGACTCGATGTCGGACAGACAGCTGTCAGGACATCGGGGGTCGTGGAGTTGAGGGTAGAGGAGGAAAGGTAGAGTTGGGTGTCATCCGCATACATGTGGGAGTGAATCCCATGTCTGCGGATGATGTCACCACAGGGGGAGCATATAGAGGGTGAAGAGGAGAGGACCGAGGACAGAGCCTTGAGGGACACCGCACGAGACAGTGCGGGGGAAGGAGGAAAAACCATTTGAGGAGACACTCAAGGACAGGGCCTTGAAGGTTTAGGTGGGAGGACAAGCGGTGGAGTAGGATAGCGTGATCAACCGTATCGAATGCTGCCGATAGGTCGAGGAGGACGAGGAGGCAGAGGGAGCCCTGGTCACAGATGGTCAGGATGTCATTGGTGACCTTGACCAGGGCAGTTTCTGTGCTATGGGCAGCACGGAAACCCGATTGAAGGGGTTCGAATAGTGAATGGTTGGAGAGGAAAGAGCGCAGTTGGGAGGCGACAACTCGTTCCAGGACCTTGGATAGGAAGGGGAGGTTGGAGATGGGCCGGTAGCTTGATAGCTGCGACGCATCAAGGGAGGGTTTTTTTAAGGTTGGAGTGATGGTGGCAAGAGTCAGGAGGTGATGATTAACCGATATAAAACACTGGTTAGGCCTCAGTTAGAATACTGCGCCCAGTTCTGGGCACCGCACTATAGGAAGGATGTTAAGGCATTGGAAAGGGCGCAGAGGAGATTTACGAGGATGGTACCAGGAATGAGGGACCGTGATGATGAGGAAAGGCTGGAGAGGCCGGGATTAGTCTCATTGGAGCAGAGAAGGTTACGAGGACCTAATAGAGGTCTTCAAAATCATGAGGGGATTTGATAGGTTAGAAAGGGAAAAACTGTTCCCACTGGTGGGTGTGTCGGTGACTCGAGGTCACAGATTCAAAGTAGTATCGAAAAGAAGCCGAGGGGAGGGGAGAAGAAATGTTTTCATGCAGCGAGTTGTTCGAATCTGGAACGCAGAAAGGGCGGTCGAGGCCGATTTGATAACTACTTTTAAAAATGCGGTGGACGGGTATTTGAGGAGGACGAGTTTGCAGGGTTACGGGGAAAGGGCTGGGGAGTGGGAATGACATTAATTGCTCTATTCAAAGAGCCGTCACAAACTTGATGGGTCAAATGGACTCTTTTTGTGCTGTACGATTCTATGATTCTATGATATTCTGTGAAGCGCTTTGTGACATCTCGAAGACGTGATAATAATAATAATCCTTGCATTTGATATAGCGCTTTTCACGTCGGGAGGACGTCCCAAAGCGCTTCACAGAACACACTGTAAAGTGAATTGACTGTATATTTGTGGGCGAACGCGGCAGCCAATTGCACACAGCAATGTCCCACAAACAGTCGTAGATTGAAAATGACCAATTTATTATTTTTTTGGTTTTGGAGGGATTATTATTAGGCTCTGTGTGGAGTAAGGAAACTTGCCCAAGGTTTCGCCCTCTGTCTGGAATTGAACTCAGGTCTCTCGCTTGCAAAGCGAGTGCTCTAACCACTGAGCTACAGGACTCCGCTATATCAAATGCAAGGATTATTATTATTACAATCCCAGCAAGTTTGCATCCATAAAATCACTGGAGGGATGGGTGCATTCATTTAAAGGGTGTAAAGGTTACAGCAAGTATCAATAAGTAATATTAGTTCCCATCACGTATTCCTCGACATCCTGACAGTCACATGCAAACGACATATCTAAACTAACAACGACTGCCAGGATGGTGGAAGGTCAACTTGATGGTCCTTGGTCTTCTTTCGTCTAGCAATTCTTATGTTCGCGCTGTGAGTGATTTTGCATCAAAGCTTTACACTATGCCCTTATGCCTTTGCTCCTTTTTTTGTCATGCTCGTTACTCCACTGTGCTTTCAGCTATTGATTTTAAAACAGAGTTCCACAGTAGAACAAGAAATCCTCGGAGTGCATTGCACACCTGTCTGTCACATCAAAAGCTAAGCTTAGGTTACACTTACTGGAGAAACCATTGTAGATTTCCTCCTACCAAGTTATTTGAGCCCCTGAACTCTCTTACAGTCCCCAGGGACACTCCTTAGTCACCTTTTATTGGAAAATCTTTTTGTTAAGTTTTTATTGAAGTATTTTGTTAAAAAAGAACGAAACTCAAAGATATCAAAAATAATTCAATTGGATTCAAGATTTAAGCAATTCATTACAACTTAGTCTCATGTATTGGATGGCTTTCTAAACCCCAATAATAGAAACAGGAATGGAACGCACAGAAAAATGTAATCATAGAAATGGCTTGTTTCTCTCCCAAGTGAAACAATTCCTTGAACAGCAATCTATCACCATTCCCTCTATTGAGTCACGGTATCTCAAACTATCATTTTCAATCAAAATGCTTGCAATAAATAGTTTTTTTAAAAAATGCTGCAATAGGTTATTATACAATAATAATCCTTGCATTTGATGCAGTGCTTATCACGTCGTTGAGATGCCTCAAAGCGCCTCACAGAATACACTGTAAAGTGAATTGACTGTATATATTGTGGGCGAAACATGGCAGCCAATTGCTCACAGCAGTGTGGATTGAGTCACTGAATCATTATTTTTTCTGAAGGGATTAGTACCTCCAGAAAAGTGATTTACCAATCGACTAATAACCGGGTTCCTATTTACTGCTGGGTAAACAGAGTTGTGTGTGTAGAGTAAGGAAACTTGCTTAACGTTTCGGCCTGCCCGGGAATCGAACCAGGGTCATCTCGCTTGTGAGGCGAGCGTTCTGACCAATAATAATAATAATAATCCTTGAATTTGATATAGCGCTTTTCACGTCTTCTCCACATCTCAAAGCGCTTCACAGAATAAACTGTAAAGTGAATGGACTATATTTTATGGGCGAAACGCGGCAGCCAATTGCGCGCAGCAGCGTCCCACAAACAGTCGTGGATTGAAAATGACCAATTTATTATTGTTTTCTTTTGGAGGGATTATTATTAGGCTCTGCGTGGAGTAAGGAAACTTGCCCGAGGTTTTACTCTGCCGGGAAATGAACCCAGGTTTCTCGCTTGGAAGGCGAGTGCTCTAACCACTGAGCTACAGGACTCACACGTACGTTACAGGAATCCACGAAAAATTATAATTTACCAACTAAATGCATTTCAGCGCTGCCCACACACTGTCCCCCCAAACATGACCCAGGTTCAACAAAGGCATTGCAACTATATCCAACCTGTCGCTTATAGCCCCACCTGTCAGTAAGATTAAGACAGAGAGCACCGCTGAGCTGGGTGTTTTGAAGTCCCCGGAAGAACTATCTATTACAAATTAACCGTGTGTGTTTGTATTATTATCGAAAAGCTTATCCGGGAGAATCGAGAAACTTTTTAACAAATATCAAATAAAACAAAGGGGAAAAAAAAACGATACTTTGATTATATGTAAAAGAGAAACCGACATTCACCGCAACACAAATTCAGGCCCAGATCAGATTAGCACCGGTTTCTTTCCGCTGACGGTGATTTAAGACTGGCATTCGATTCCTGACAAACTCTGTTTTGTTAAGATCAGAACAAAGAATTAAAGCGTTGCATCTCGTGTATATATATTTATAGAGAGGGGGAGAGATCTCCTGGTTCCAGTGTGTACCTGGAAGCCTGGAGCTCACCTGTACAGGTAAGCAGCAGCCAATGTCAGAAACTTACCCAAATGATCAGGCTGTCGCACAGGTCAGATTTATTGACTGCCATCTCTCTTTGGCTTGTTTTCCCCTCCACCGAGGCTTCCTCGCCACCCGGAAGCCTTCAAGCCATCTCATTTCCCAAACAAATTGAAACTAAAATAAAAACTTTCTCTCAACTTTCCGTCAGAACCTGTGGAGCCCAAGTGGGTGGAGAGGAGTTTGGTGAGCTACCAATGGTGGGGAGAGTGGCAAGGCAACTCGGTCGATTGACACCTAAACTGTCCATCCCGGACATGGATAGGTTTGAAGTCCACCCTCCCTCCCTTTAAGGAAACGCTTCTCTCTCTGTACCAGGTGAAGTCTCCCGGGTTAGGGTTGAGGGTTCACTTAAGCAAGCTTAAATAAATGCTCTCATGTTGACAGCTCACAGCGGAGTCTGTGGTTCAGTTGGTCTGTTTGCAAAGTCAGTACCAAGTGGCATTTAGGATTGCGTTCCGTTGTGATGCCTTCAAATGTTCGCGCATCCCAGATTTCATTAAGGGAAACCGAAGAAGGTCATTGAGACGTCTCAAAGCATCATTTTACAGGATATAAAGTGGTGTCACTGTGAAAGATTGCAAGGGTGTGTTTCTTTACACGTAATAGTAATCCTTGCATTTAAAGACACTCCCAAGACCATTCAAAACGGCTCAAAGCATTTCACAGGGAATCACTGCTGAACGTCAAATTTTAATATAATAATCCTTGCATTTGATAGAGACTTAGCATGTCGTTGAGACATCTCAAAAGTGCTTTACAGGATATACTGTAAAGTGTGTCTAATGCTACTGGAACTAACTTTGCCATCAGATGAAGTGAACCTGACTGAGCTGTGAGCATGAGAGCATTTATTTATCTTAACCAAGACACTACTGCGTGTAAAGGGCACTATATAAATACAGTTCTTGTTGTTATTTTTGTTGAATATAGTGACTGGAGATTTTTTGTGAATGAAAAGCAAACATCCCCCCAAAACAGTATTTCAATCAACTGGGCCATCACCCTCCCATCTACCCCCTCACCCAGATTGGTAGTAAGACTGTCAAGGCATTCTGACGATTTTGGAAAACAATGGTAATAATGAAACTCACGCGATTTGAGGACATTGATATATCCTGAGAGTAACTGAATACCCTGTATCGTAAACCTTTTATTTATTCATGAGTTTTCTTTCTCAGTTTGCCTTATATTACCCTGGCCAATGTCTCCAGCGATGGTTGACTTTGAACACACAGTCTCGGTTGACGGTCCATTCTAGGGCAGGGCTGCGGGGGTTCCTGCCTTTATCGGAGACGCCGTCCTTTGGATCAGACATTAAAACTCAGGTGGCGTTGTGCCTATTCTTCAGGTGGCTGCTTAAAAATAAAATTCTCCACGACACTAATTTGTGAATAAAAAAAGAGTGCGGAGTTTCTCCTGGTGTCTTAGCCAAAAATCTCCCAAGTTAATTGGGTGTTCAACACATGGCTCTTTGTGGAACTTTTCGAAGCCTAAAATGGTGTCCCAGTCCCTCAACAAAAAGAACATTTACTAACAAGTGCAAAAATATTGCAGAAAAAGTCTAGTGAACGAAATGCATCAATAGCTCTCCGAGACACTATCCTGGATGAGGGGGGCACTATATAAATGCAAGTTGTTGTTGTTGAATAAATAAAACCAAAGAAAAGGAGCGTGGGTTGGAAAATATACATTCACCCCACAGCACAGGCTCTACTTTTGACATAGGTTTTAATAACACTTTGACCTGTTGTTCCCAGATTTCGTTATAACAGAACAAACCAAATCGACAGACACTAACATATAGCGAGTACAATGCCATAACATCACTGAGAGCTGACACATTCCCATTAACCTGCTGAAAAGAGTACGGTAGCGTTCGAGCACAGACGTTGAAACAAAATACAAAAATAACAAGATTGAAATATTTATTCACAGCGTACTGGACCGAATGTGTATGTATATAGCTTCTTGTTTTTGTTTTGTTTTTTAAAAAATCCAGAATACAGTATTCACATTCAGACAGCTACAGGAAACCAGCGTTTGCACGTGTTTTATGAGAGGATAAAACGTGCTACTGTGGGAATTTGCAACCTTCCAGGCGTAGCGTTTGGAACGTAGTGAGTCTGAAACAAAGGCAGGTCCCACAGTGTTACGTGCTCGAAGCTTATTGATTATTGAGCTTATTGATGACGGTAGGAGGTACAGTATATGTTCGCTGGTGTGAACTGGAAACTCTTGTGTACCGTACACTGGGTTCCTGAGTGTTTTGCTTTCGAGGGGAAATAATCCTTGAATTTGATTTAGCGCCTGATCACGTCTCAAAGCGCTTCCCTGGATATGCTGTAAAGTGTAGTGAGTGTAGCGGCCAATTGCGCACCACACTGTCCCACAGTTGTGGACTGAGTGAGTGAGTTTTTTGTGAAGGGATTCTTTTTTCTTGAGCGAAATATTATTGATAAACAAAATGAAAAAAAAATTCTGCTTTCGAGAGAATGTTAAAATAAATGTATTGTGCCTCTTTGTCACAAAGTCTATTTGAAAAACTAAGGAGAAATTCCAACCCCATGAATTTCAGAATATCCAGAATTTGGCAAATTTTTAAATCTTTCATTCATTTTGAAAATGTTTTTCTATAATACAATAGTTTACCTAGCAGTAAATACAACTCGTTTGTTAGTCGATTGACGGATCACTTTCCTGGGGTAATAATCCCTCCAAAAAANTAATAATTTGCTCGCTCAATCCACAACTGTTTGTGAGACACTGTTCTGCACAATTGGCTGATGCATTTTGCCCACAAAATAGAGTCAATCCACTTAACAGTATAATCTGAGAAGGTTTGAGGTGTCTTGAAGACGTGATAAGGCGCCATATCAAATGCAAGGATTATTATTATTATTACCCCCGGAAAGTGATCCATCAATCGATTAACGGCCAGGTTCCTACTTACTGCTGCGTAAACAGAGTCGTGTGGAGTAAGGAAACTTGCCTAAGGTTCCGCTCTACCTGTGTCCTCCCGCGTGTGAAGCAAGGCTATGGGACTCCACATTTAAAGCAGTGACTTTCACGTTGGGAGGATGTCTCAAAGCACTTCACAGGTATGTTGGAAAGTGGAGTGACGGTGATTTTGTAGGTGAACGTGTTTTGTAAGAACCTTTCACTGAGTGGGCAGAGACCAATAAGCCCATCTTGCCCACTGAGCTACATCTTGCCCCAGATAGTAGAAAGGGTTTATAATTCTGCATGGGTTGTATCTTCTCAATTCAACAGCTCTCCAGTTGGCTGAACGTTAACCTAACTAAAAGCTATATCCCCAACCTGATGAGGGGAAAACCCTCACCCACACATTCGACACATCAAGGTTCGGTTACAGAAACTCCCTCCTCATCGGCCTTCCCAGCTTTTCCTTCACAAACTGCAGATCATCACAAACTCTGCAGCTCGAGTACTCTCGCGCACCAGGCTCCGTGACCTCATCCCTCCCACCCTCGCCCGACTCCACTGATTTTTTTTTTTGTCTGACACAAGAGGAAATCCATCACCGTTGCTTAAGAGTCTCGAAACCAAGTTGAGAATTCCCTGCATCCCACCTACACATGGAAATCCCCGAGATAGATTGTTGGAATGGAATGCATTCTCTCTCTCCCTGGGAGAACGCATCCTGCTTACCTAATTCCGAAAAGTATTAGGCGCACGTTGGCAAAAGCCAAGGCTTGCGGGGATCCCAGAGTGTGCGGAGGGGTAACTGCTGGGGTCTAACCAGCTCAAACCGCACAGCTTGCCATTGATGTCGCTGTCTAGTAAGCTTTCCCGCTTCTTGGATGACCACAATAGTAACAGTTCTCACATCCTTCTCATCAGATGATCCCCAAAGCCCCTGCATTAAAGGCAGCTCCTCGGAACATTTGAGGTGCCTTCCACAGCAACGTGGACACCCTGCTCCACCAATACTAACACGGGCAGCAATTGAACTCCTCCGCTGGGTTGGTGGGTCATTCCCTGTTTAGTTGCAATGTTGGGGAAATGCAATGTGGCTTTGACATATCAACGGTGTTGAGGTGTCGAGACTGGACACCAGTTGCAGTACTCCCTGGCTGCCACTAGAGGCTCCCTAGAACTCTCCAACAGCACAACTAGAGTTTGCAACACTACATTGTGTACCACCCCAATATGGAATAGATTGGCGAGGTTTGTTATACAGGACCTAACCTTCATAAGTTGGCTGGTCAGGTCCATTATAGCTTAAAAACATCAACTTCAAAGTGCATCAATTAGTTGCAACCGACAATATAAAAAGCCATGTATAATGCCCTTTCCATTGTTGGGAATATTTCTCCCCTATAAAAACTTCAACTGATGTATAATATATATGCACACACACATGTATATATGTATATATATATGGGTCCCACAGAAAGCATTCAGAGAGGGGAACAAAAGGACATCGATTCACTTTAAAAAGATGTTCAGCAAATACTGGATTCTTACAAAAACTTTACATGTAACTCGCTCGATTGTTAAGGTGAACAAGGAATAAGAAAGGTGGGAATGAAGAGAATTGATGGGAAACAAAGGGAAAGGATGGGACCTGCATGTCGGGGGTAATCTGCTTCTGAAAGAAGGTAGGTTAGAGTTTTCACGAGGTCCTCACAGAATCGTGATAAACAGTAAGGTTCATTCCCCAATGGACCAGTCTTACTTTTTTTTCTAAACCCTCCGCGCCCCACCACACAAAATTACCAAATTCACCGTCTGGTTAGCCATTTATCATGACGCACTTTTCCGTAGAGATTCTCGTAGGAGTAGTTTTACCAAGTCCAGAACCACCCTGATATTCTGAGGGCCGAAACCATGAGTGATTAAGTTATACGGATGTTCCTGCCACATAAAACTGTCCAGGATTGAGTCAAGGTCTTCAACCACCTTCCTAAAATAAACAGAAAGAGGTTAATCAGAGCTTCGGCTCATAATGGTTCTTCTCCCATCTTATCTTTTTATCACTAGAATATACTTAGGACCATAACATTTAAAAAACAATAATAATCCTTGCATTTGATACAGCACCTTATCACGTCTTTGAGACATCTCAAAAGTGCCTCACAGAATATACTGTAAAGTGAATTGACTGTAAATATTGTGGGCGAATTTGCTGAATTTGGTGGCTCAGGTCTTTGGGACAGTTTTAATGATGTGGTCTTGGAACACAACTGTTCCAAAAAACTCCATAAAAATAATAATAGAAAAATAATCATAATTTGATCACTCAATCCACGACTGACTGTTTGTGGGACGCTGCTGTGCGCAATTGTCTGCCTCGTTTTGCCCACAAAATATGCAGTCAATCCACTTTACAGTATATTCTGTGAAGCGCTTTGAGACGTCTCGAAGACGTGATAAGGCGCTGTGTCAAATGCAAGGATTATTATTATTATTATTATAACTGCAGGCTCACTGCCGAGGGCAGCATTGAGGGGAACGCTGCCTCGTCAACAACAACAACTTGCGTTTACACAGCGCCCTTCACACGGGGTAGCGTCCCAGAGGGTTTGGCAGTGGCGGAGTCTATCGCTGTCCTGGGGTCTTTAGGTGGGATTTGAAGGTTCGGAGGGAGGGGGCAAGGCGGAGAGATTGAGGGAGAGAGCTCCAGTTCGGTGCATGGTGACTGAAGGCACAGTCGACGACGGTGGACGGGTGGAGGTGGGGACGAGGGAGAAATAGGAGGCCGGAGCTGGACGGGCGGAGGCAGCGAGTGGTGGAATGTGTGAGGGGAGGGTAAGCAGATCGGCGAGGTAGGGAGGTGCGGGTGGCATGAAGGGATTTGAAAACGAACGAGAGGATCTAGTCAGATGTTACATAGATTTATACGGAGTCACACCGCATGGAAATAGGCTACTCGGCGCAGGCCTGCTTCAGGTCCGCTGCCCGATCAGTGGCCGCGCTTTCAGCCATAATGCCCCCGCTCTTTAGAAGCCCGTCCCGCAGTCTCTCCTCCTTGTCCCCTCCCTTCTTTCCCGCTTTAACCACATTTTTCGCCTACACTTCCCGCCACCTACCCCCACCCCAACCCCAGCCCCACCCACCATCCCCGCCCTCAGCTTCCCATTCGGTTGTGTGAAGCGCGCTTTGAGACGTCCTCCCGACGTGAGTAAGAGCGGCCATGTGAATGTAAATGGTGGTTTTGACAGTTTCTGGCCACTTGCCTCGCTGTGAATATTTCGGAAGCCTCAGACTGCTCTGCTATCCGGTTGGCGCACTCGTCCACGGGGAAGTAGCCGAGATTGAGCTGGTGAAAGTTTTCCGTCAGCGTCTTGGCTTCTCCCTCGCACAGCCGAGTGAAGGACGTGTGCAGAGTCCGGTCGTAGCCGGTCACCGGGAGATCGAGGAGCTGCCGGATGTCGAACCGGTTGTCTCTCCTCAGCCGCAGGTAACTTTTGATGACCGTCTTTGACATGTTCTCGGGCGGAATGATGCGTCTCCTGATCTCCCCTTTGGTCACGGGATACTTAATCTTGCGCTTCTTGTCGTCAGCTGAGGGCAGCAGAGCGGGGACGTGGGCTACGATAATTTGTTCTGCAACAAACATCAAACAGTATTTTTCTGGGACCACATCATCTGGGTCTTAAGACACAACTTTTCTCTCACTGGTCGGCCTATTTTATTGCAATTCTTCCCCCCCTTTGTTTTGCATCATTAACACCTGTTTAACCCATCCTCCCCTGTCCTCTCCCCATTTTCTCCTTTGTCTTCCTTGCCCTGCCTCGCCCCACAACACCCCCATCTCTGTTAGCCTTTAAAACAACCCCAGTTCTGCCGAAGGGTCGTGGACCCCAAACGTTGACTCATTTTCCTTTCTGCCTGACCTGCTGAGTGTTCCCAGCCACTTCTGTTTTTGTATTAAATAATATTTCTTTTTTTTTAAAAAAAACTTACTTTAAGATGTCTCAGTGTGATAAGGTGCTATACCAAATGCATGGACAATTATTATTATCATAGAATCATAGAATGTTACGGCACAGAAGGAGGCCATTCGGCCCATTGAGTCTGTGCCGGCTCTTTGACAGAGCAACTGACTTTTATTTACCCCACTCAACAACAACAACAAGATTCCATTTATAGAGCGCCTTTCACGTCGGGAGGACGTCCCAAGGCGCTGCACAGTTGGGTCAGGACCTGAGCAGAAGAGAGATGGTCAGAGTGAGGGGAGGGAAGGGAGGGAGCGAGGAGGGGGAAGAGAGTCGAGAGGGGAGCTGAAGGCTCGGTCAAAGAGAAAGGTCTTGAGACCGGCATTGAAGGAGGAAAGGGAGGAAGCGGCGAAGGTACTGGGGGATGGAGTTCCAGAGCCTCGGGGCTGAGAGGCTGAAGGCCCGACCACCGATGGTAGGGCGGTTGGGGCGGGGGATGTGGAGCAGACCAGAGCCAGAGGAACGGAGGGTACGGGCAGGTAGGTAGGGGGATAGTAGGTCGGAGAGGTAGGAGGGAGCGAGGCCGTGAATGGCCTTGTAGGTGAGGATGAGGATCTTGAATTCGACTCACCAGCTTTCTCTCCATAACCCTGCAAACCCGTCTTCCCCAGATACCTATGCAGTTCTCTCTTAAAAGCTGTTATCGAATCGGACTTCACTGCCCTTTCGGGCGGATCATTCCAAATTCTAACCATTTGCTGAGTGAAAACATTTCTTCTAACCTCCTTTCTGCTTCTTTTGGTAGATATCTTAAGACTGTGACCATGAGTCACAGACACACCTACCAGCAGCAACAGCTTTTCCCTATCTCGCCTGTTGAAACCTTTCATGATCTTGAAGACCTTTATCAGGTCCCTGCGTAACCTTCTCTGCTCTAATGGGAAAAGTCCTAACTTCTCCAGCCTGTCCTCATAGCTAAGGTTCCCCATTCCTGGTATCATTCTCGTGAATCTCCTCTGCACCCTTTCCAGTGCCTTAATATCCTTCTTGAGGTACGGTGCCCAGAACAGGACGCAGTACTCCAGCTGAGACCTAACCAGTGTTTTGTATAGATTAAGCATAACCTCCCGGTTATGCTTAATCTGTTATTATTATTATTAATAGTTAATAATTATTATTATTAATAGTCAGATCCGCAGCAGGACAAGAAGGCATGGGTTCAAAGGTTTTCCCGCATCCCGCAGTCCCTCCGCCTCGCCACCTTCAAGACCCATCTCAAGACCCTGCTACTCGCCCATGCTTTTGATCTCCCTGTTTCCCCCCCTAACTTCCACCCTCCCCCACCCTGACCCCCAGCGCGGGTCTGAAACTCTGTCCGTCCAGCACCTTGGGACATCCTCCCGACGTGAAAGGCGCTATACAAATGTAATTTTGTTGTTGTTGTTTTAGGTTCAGGGTTCAGGAGGGTAATTTTAGAACATTACAATCTGCATTTATTTTTACGGGATCCTTCCAATAGGCTGAACATCTCAAACTTCTGACTCAGAAGCGAGAACGCTACCAAATCAGCCAGGCTGATACGATACCTAAACCCTGTGCAGACCATATATACATAAGCAAGTCCATCACTCCAGGTAGTGATCCAAGACCCAAATCCCTGGCTGGTATTTTACCCTCCCTGTCCCGGGGGAACTGTTAATATCACCTTTATTAACCTAAATTAAACTCTTCCTTCTCAAATGGACATGAATGTTGCCACTGCATTGTCAAACAAACAAAAATCAATGTGGTGTTCTGTTAACAAGTACTGACTGTAACCAGAGGCATATCTGGAGAAAATCAATTTGGAAAACAAATATATAGTTGACACGAGCATTTTTATGGTTTAAAGCTTTCGTGGTGTTAACACTCAGCATTATGGGTTGCCACAAGTTTCCCGTATCTGCTGCAGTTCTCTCCACCTCGAGGTGTTTTTAGAACAAATTTGCACCTTACCTTCATCCATAATTTCAGCGTTCAGTGTGTACGGGTTAATGACCATTAATTCCGACGTCGAATCTGAAACTTAGGAGGGGAAAAAGTGACCCTGTTGAAAATTTTGCTCCACACAATACAATACAAATTTACATCCACACAGCACAGCGCTTGCCACACCCCAAAATAAACAACAACAACAAGATTGCATTTATAGAGCGCCTTTCACGTCGTGAGGACGTCCCGAGGCGCTTAACCGTTGGGTCAGGACCCGAGCATTGGGGGGAAATGGTCAAGGTGAGGGGAGGGAAGGGAGGGAGCGAGGAGGGGTAGAGAGTCGAGAGGGGAGTTGAAAACCCAGTCACTCAACCCACGGCTGTTTGTGGGACGCTGCCGCGTGCAATTGGCTGCCAAATTTCGCCCGCAAAATACACAGTCACTACACTTTACAGTACATCCTGTGCAGCAGCTTGAGACGTCTCAACGACGTGATAATAATAATAATCCTTGCATTTGATATCGCGCTTTTCACATCTTCTCGACGTCTCAAAGTGCTTCACAGAATAGACTGCAAAGTGAAATTGACCGCATATTTTGGGTGAAACGCGGCAGCCAATTGAGCACAGCAATGTCCCACCAACAGTCGTGGATTGAAAATGACCAATTTATTATTGTTTTTGTTTTTTTGGAGGGATAAGAGACTATATCAAGTGCAAGGATTATTATTATATTATTATCATAACATTCGGCCAAACTGACCCTGGTGATGGTTACAAGTCAATATATTTTGAGTGCCAACTTGGGGGTGGGAGGATGTTGGGTGGGGGGTGGGGAGGAGAAAAAGTTTGTCTATGATAAAGTGGGAGAAGGAACTACATTGTAAAGAGCTCGGGGACGCTCCGCTGTGTGAGGGGCGCTATATAAATGCAAGTTGTTGTTGTTGTTCGTGTGAAAGCTCACTCACCTCCCAGTACCTCCAGCGTGGCTGACAAAGCAGCCCAGCCACCCGTGCTGAAATACAGCCTGGCGTTGGTCTGGATGCTGGAATCCAGGAGTAAGGCTTCTTTGCCACTCAGGTTCTCTGTCAGAACCTCCACGTCACTCTCGTTCGCCAAACGGACACTGGAATAGATTTCATCCACCACCTCAGTCTTCAGAACGGTGTGCAAGAACTCTGCCAGGAAAGCGGGTGATGGGAGGGAAACATTTGGTTACTCCAGTGCAATACAGGTGCTTTGAATACAACTTATTCTGTGTTCCTTTGCTAAATGCACCTGCTGGTTAGACCCCACAAGCCTGGGCCCACTCCCCTTCCCTCCCCCCTCTCCCCCACCCTCCCCCTCTCCCCCACCTCCCCCCCACCTTCCCCACCTCCCCCTTCCCTCCCCCCTCCCTCTCCCCTCCCCCCCCCCTCCCCTCCCCTCACTCTCCCCACTCCCCTCTCCCCTCCCCCCCCCCCCCCACTCTCCCCACTCCCCTCTCCTCCCCTCCCCCTCTCCCCACTCCCCCCTCCTCCCCTCCCCACTCTCCCCTCCCCCCCCCTCTCCCCCTCCCCCACTCCCCCCCCTCTCCCCCACCCCCCTCCCCACCTCCCCACCTCTCCCCCCCTCCTCTAACCACTCCCTCCCTCTCCCCCACCCTCTCCCACTCCCCTCTCCCAACCCTCCCCTCTCCCCACTCTCCTCCCCCCCCCCTCCTCCACCCTCCCCCTCTCCCCACCCCCTCCCCACTCCACTCCCCCCCTCCCCCCCTCCCCCACCCTCCCCCACTCCCCAACCCCCCCTCCACTCTCTCCCCAAACCTCCCCCTCCCCACTCCTCCCTCCCTCTCCCCTCTCCTCTCTCCCACTCCTTCCCCCCTCCCCCTCCCACTCCTCTCCCCCCACTCCTCCTCCTCTCCCCTCTCCCCACCTCCCCCCCTCTCCCTCCCCTCC